ATGTGAATTTGGCTGGAAGAAGACCACCGGATCATTTACTGTATTTTGTGAATGTCCCTTAATAAGAGGGGAAGTAAAATCCAACATGTAAAACTTGTTTTAAAACTAAAACCTTGATAATTGCAAATATTTCCCTTATAATTCTAAGGGAGACCATTTTAAAGGGAAATGTTTGGAATTAGCTTAGGATGTTTTGTTAAAATATTATAATTGATCAACAGGGCTACTGATCTGCTGTATTTAAAATCAGTTCAGGTCCAATGGTCTTGTAATAAATATGAATCGCAAATTACTGAGGATCTTTCTCCATCTCTGTTTATAATTAGTGAGAGAGTAAATTCAAGGACTCCTTGAGATGTGGGAGCTATTTAAATAGATGCACAGTCAAATTGAATGCTACACTTTGATTTGCTAATGATTGTACTTTAGCTCCAATAAATTAGATTTCAATATTTTCTTAGCTTGACTAATTCCATAACACAAGAGGCACCTATTTGATTTTACAAAATGATCAACTAACTTTTTCTTAAGCCCCAGATCCTTCGATATCTCAAACACCAAACAAATCTGTACCAATTCACTCTTTTGTGAGGGTACACTATGAACTTCAGTGATATTCCCCTCAACATCACTACCTTAGGGCCTCACTATCTCACTACATAATCTAAAATCAAAGAGTTATTATGGAACCCCCATGCAAAAAGACTTTGCATGCATCGATACCAGCATCCCTGCCTCTACCATCCCTCCACTGGCACATTGGATCCTTACATTTCAAAGTGCCATATGGCAACATGAAATTTGACTGCATCCTGCCCAAACTGAGGAAAATTGAAAATACAGTTAAGTCTACAAATGACACCCAGAAGGTACAAGCCAAAATATTAAGAAAATAGAAAACATACTTTTTGAACCAGACAGATGTATAAGTGCACTGGAGAAAACAATTAATGTCAATCAATAAGAATTGTGTAACGTGAAAAGCCATAAACTGAAAACTGATGATTTGGAAAACTGAACTAGGAGAAACAACATTAACATTTTTGGACTACAAGAAAAATATTGAAAGCATGAAATCAACTGAGTCTGTGAGAAACACGCATTTAAACATCTTTAAAGCTTACTTTCCTGAATCACCACAATCTTTGGAACTTGAATGAGTCATAGACATTTAGTGCCTAAATCAAGAACAAATGAATAGTTACACTTCTTAGGTTCCAAGACTAAGAAGAGAAGCTGCTGGAACGTGCCAGAACAGTCCATAATTTCTGCTACACTAAATATCAATCTGAATGTCTATGCCGACTTTTCTTTATCATCTGTCCAAAGAAGGAGGAGAATATTTACCCACATTCACCAGTTCCTTAATGAGAAAAGTGACTGTTATGATTTATTTCCAGCATCTTTAAGAGTCTTGTTTGAAGATCAAATTCCTTTTTACAAAAACAGAGAAAACCAAAAAAGTAATCTGGGATACATTCAATCACTGAACTACTCTTGCAGAAGACGCTACTATGATCCAATAAAACAAATATTTATGAGAAACTATCAAGTTTATCTGAAGATTTTAAAACAGTATTTCCCAGTAATAATACCCGTTATTATACATTTTGTCACCCTTCAATTATGTTTGAATGATCTATTCTATACATGATTCTGGAGGATATTTTCCCCCTTTTTATTATAATTATCAGTATCTACAGTTCTTATCCTCATATACAAAAAGGATAATCTTCAGTTAACAGATACATTTCAAGATGTAGAAGGCAGATTAAAAGGAATAAAAGTAGTTGACAATAAATTGGGTATAATAAATGTTTATTTTCCTAATATTGGCCTGGCCATCTTTTATCATTGCAGGGCACTTTTATTCATTTATACAATACATTGACAGATACAGTTATAATCCACACCAACCTTTTTTTAAATTTAAATGTGTTTCAACTGAATTGAGCTTTTTGGACTCATGGACATTATTAAATCCCAATGAAAGGGATTATATATATATATATTTTCCCTTTGAAAACAATCTAGACATTCTTTTAACAAATTAATTAAACTAAACCTGGAACTATACATATCTCTGATCAATCCACAAAATCATTAAGTTTAAATATAAATGAGAAAATATATGACACACAATCTAAACATTGTTAAAAAAAATATCTTGCCTATGATAAAGAATTTGTGATGCAATTAAAGAAGCATGCAATTTTCTTGATTAAAATAAACACTAAATGTCATCTACATGCTTCGTTTGAGAATTTCTTAAGTATAAATAGGAATTCATACACTTCATAAAAGAAAACAAATCGAGCTATTAAAAAACTAAAATAGAGACTTTATTTCAAACAAATCTCAAAGCAAACAATTACTGAGAATTAATATTTAATTAACTCAAATTTCAAGTTCAATATCCTTATTTTGGTAACAGAAAATCATAAATATACAGACTGTAAATATACAAAAGTCTATATCATGAAAATGGTGCAAAATCTGGAAAACATCTGTCTTATACCTTAAGAAAACTTCAAAAAAATAAAATACTGTTCTTAAACAAGAAGATGGAACCCTCACCTTTGATCCAAAATGCACAGATGATGCAATAAAATTCTATGAAAATATGCACTCTGGTCAAAGTATCCCCTCTCCCCAAGAAATTGAAGAATGTTATAAATTATTAAAATTATACAATCTTAATGAACAAGAGCAATTAATGTTTTGTTCCCCAATCTTGGATCAAGATATCACGGATGCTATCACTTTCCTCTCTTCTGGAAAAACCACAGGAGTTTTCAATAAGCCCTGCAGTAAATGAAAAATTTTAAATTTGGTCCGACATTTTTGTCTGGGAAACAGGTAAGAATCACTTTTCTGAATTTCAAATACACATTGAAACACAGTAAAGGCAACAAAAGTGTTTTTGAGTTTCGGAAAACCTAACCCTAACCGTAGTTTGGACATTCCTAAAATAGCTACTATATCTCAAACATTGCTTTTAACAGATTTACATGACCATAATTTGAGCAGTTACCCCTTATCCTTATTGTTTTCTAACCTTCAGTCAGCTACTTACAGTACATCCTACAATTAAAGAATAAATCTTTTTAATAAAGTTTTGTTGGTCTATATTTAAATGGTTCAGGTTTGCCTTCCATTTTTATGAATGAGCACTACATTAGCAATTTTCCAGTCCATTGTACAAGAGTTGTATGGCTTTTTTATTAATGGCTTATAAAGAACATCCTTTTTTCTTGCCATCAGGCCTTAGAGATTTAGCTTAAATGTTTCTAGTACTCAAAACAATTCAGTCTCTTGTGTATTCACTTTGTTACCTGTGAGGTCAATACTGTAAAATATATCAAAGTCACTTGAGTGTTTCATTTTCAATTATGGTCACATTCAATTATTGCAGGGGAACTATAATGTTATTTTCATATTTCGGAGTTAGAAAGAATCAGCATTGATATGTGCATTTTAAACTACAATAAAAGTAACATATGCATAGCCTGTATTTATTCACTCGTACATCGTATTACATTAGTCATTAGAGCAACTAGTGAGCAGGAAGGGCAGCCTCAGATGGCAATTTGTGGGAACTCGAATGAGAGTTTGTGAGATGGCAACTTACAGCACTTTGAACAAAGTTCACAATTTTGTGCTTAATTCTAATTTTGTATTTATTTTTTATAACACCAATGAATTAATTTTGTTCCAGAGATTTAATAATCGGTCCAAGAAACTGGGACTGCAGTTCCCTTTAAATCAAAATGACTCCAAAACAATCAATATCCAAATTCTGCATATATATTGTAATTAAAGAGATGCTTCTTCTGCTTTGCTAGTATATTTTAAACTACTTTTTACCTTCAGACTAAACCTTGCACTAGAGAGAATTGTAAACCCTTCTTACTTGGGTAGGCACAACCCACGTATTCTTATTCCATTATTACTATTTGCTACTCCACCAAATGAAATGCCACAAAATACAAGCAGACTCCAAGTAGACAGCTTTATCACTTCTAGATATAAAAGAAGAATTGATTTTGATTTATGAAAATAAAGTAAGTGGCATTGTGGAGATGTCCCCAAAACATGATTTTCATTTTCACAAATGTAGTCCCTACATTGATAGTAACACATGCCCCAAACACACACAATTAACAGAAAAATACAAAATACAATTAACTGTTTAATATCTTTCATGTAGACAATTCAATATACATCATTTGTCATCACCTATTGCACATTCCACAATAGATCAAAAATTGATCATACATACATGTTCAAATAAAGATCAAGTTTAATTACATTATTTTTTAAGGATGGCGCATTCAAGTATCAAACCATATAATATCAGATATCTTCTGATATGATTGAGAGCACATACTAACCATAAAACACTTGTGATTGGTCCTACAGTTTAGCAAAACTGTGGAAAAGGTGAAGTTAACTATAGTTAAGTTAACTGAACATATTGAAGGGAACCCATACTGTGCTTTGGCTCAAAAACACTTCTGATCACAACCCAACAAAAAGGATCGTATGGATTTCAATACACACAGTAGTCTTGAACTACAGAGTTCACAGTAATCACTTTACTATCCTTTTGAGGTACATCAAACCCAAACTAAATCTCCTAAATACAGGTGAAAGAACTGTAAATATAACTAGCATAAAAATCCCAAAAGATTAATGGTTGACAAAACAAATGTAAGCACTTTCCACTCAAATTTGAATCATCCCATCAAAATGATATAAATCGTTTTTTAAGAGGAAGTTAAATCTTTGGATGTCCTGAAAAAAAGAAACTGCACACAAACTGTGCCTGACCAGCTACCCACACTCATTTCTTTTTAATATCACAGCTAGTGTACTACTGCTCCTGATATGTCAGCTACTAAAAGCTATCAGATGACAGCTGGAATGCCATTCGAGTGATATTCCAAATTAAAGGACTTCACATCTGACTATAGTGCTGTGACACCAATCTCAAGAAGTTAAGACAAAAGATTGTGCATTGGTCCTTCTTCACCATGTACAGTACCTGTTAATGGACTTTGTTCACGTCTAACCAATGTTTTTTTATTTACACCATATTTCAGGCACTAGGACTCATTTGGAGTAACCAGGCCCAAAGTATATGAAATATTATATTCAAAACTTATCATATGAGACTCTAAAAACTATATAGTGAGACAGAACCAAATTTTGACAAAATGACTTAAGAGAAAAAGTAAAATGTCTCTAAGCTGCAGTCCAGTAGGAGCTCCTAGTTTAAATCCAGAAGATTTATCTACAATATGTCTTCAAGACTTTATTGAGGAAAAACATACAAACATTGCAAACTGGTCAACACATTCAGAAAAAGTAAAATAACAGTGATTTTGAATGCAACTGTAATCCTGTCTAATCTATTTACACCCAGAGGGGGTTTGTTATTACTAAAACCTTTTGAATTACTTTGTAAGTATACTGTATAAGTTACTAAGATGTTCAGTTATTGAAGAGTTATGTTTTAGGAGAAGTGTCATTCCTGGAATTTCACACTTGCCTTTTTTGTAGAAAGCTTTGTAGAAATACTTTGGGGAGTATGGCAATCAAGGACCACAGTACTGTTCAGTTCACAGTTTTTTTCAAAAGCTTTTGTCCAATTAAACACAAATTATGTGAGTTTGGGTGGTCAGAACAGAACTCAATGAAAAGTGGTCAATACTTTAAGAACATGTGCATGTTATAACAGAACTTTAAGATTCTGCTTCTATGTGAGCTTGAGAAATGGTGACAGAATACACTGAACGAAAAAGACAAACATTCTCTACAGTAACCATTAATGACCGTATAATAGTCATCAAGGCTTGGTGTCAGCTAAAGAGTAACATCTCCTCATATAGAAAAGGTACTGTAGAACTTAAGGTTTTCAAAATAAAAGCAATCAGTGTCACAAATCTTCTTTTTTAAACATACTGGTTTTCTCTTAAATGTCCTTTTTCTGGAATAAATTTAATACCAGACTACATTGCCTATATCTCCAAGAGGGCCTAGAGAAGAAAATGAAATTTAAATGAAAAAATCCTCAAAGGCATTGATGAAGTCAACGCAGTGACGCCAAGAATGTCAATAATGGGAGGCACTTATTCATGGAACTAAGGAACGGCAACCCAGCCATGTTTTTGAAGTCATTACCTTGGCTTCTTAAAAAACCAACAGGATGAGATCCTTGGAACAATTAGCTTCTTAGATGTCAAATGGGCAAGGCCAGCCAAATGGCCTCCTCTCATTTCTAACCTTTCTCATCGTCTTAGAACATGACCAGTGAATAAGTGTCACAACACATTCCAAAACACTTTAATATCAAAAGAGATCACCATTTCTGATCCATCAGATACCTTCATCACGCAATAAACGTATCACATTTTATGCTGAATACACACATGCATGTGTCAGAAAGGATTTCTATTATCGTAGAGCTTGTGCATTTGTAAGTAATGTTAATGACAAACAAGGTATAAAGAATGACACTGACTCTAGTAACATAACTGAAATATACTATGACAACCAGAACAAGAAAATTAAAATCAATTGTAAAAAAAATGAATAAAACAGAACATATTTAAAGGTTTCCGTGAGTAACAGTTTTTAATGAACATTATAACTGAGGTTGGAGCTAATTTACCTTTCTGAGGGCCTTGAAACATTTTAACCATTTAACTGAATGAATAAAACTGAACAACAACCTTGTACGGTGGGAAGCAAAGACCAATGAGACAATGGAAAGAAGATAAAGTATAAATGTATTTTAAAGTTCTTTTCTATATATATTTACAGTACTATATACATTTTGGAATATATAAATTGGAGATGTCTTCATAACAGGAACCAAGAAGTCTTGTATGACATTTCTTTGCAGTACAATCGACCTGTCCAAAGTTATATCCGGTCGACATTTCTCAGTCCACCATCCATTGTCAAAGTACCAAATCTAGGAATAAATATTAATAAGATAGTTACAAATTTAAATTAAAATGCAGTCTTTCAACTAGTTATTCATGGGGCAAAGCATGACAACAGGTTTGTAACCTTCAGTTACAAGTTCTTATTTTAACAGTATGTACTATACAGCACATGAAAAAAGTGTGAAATCAGATTGTTACCTCTCAAGAAAATGATTATTTTCTGCCAGTTCTTTTACAACCCCTTCCATTTCTTCTTTGAGTTTCTTCATTCTGCAAATACAAAGAGTCATCCTTTCAACATACAGTTAGTACAACAACAGTGCTAATTACCAGCATTAAGGGAGTGTGTTGAGTCACACCTCTAAGCAGGGAAATAAACAGTGTTAATTTAGTTATCATTTTTTTAAAATAGTCTTAGTCGAGTTCACTAAAATGGCTAAGGGATATAGTCACATTTTAGTCTCACAACTTTCAATTTGGACTCAAAATGGACTAAAAGTAAGTTTGTCTGCAAATGAGGGATAAATACAAAACAAAAAATAAAAGGGAAAAAAATGCTTGTCAGTTATCGGGGCGGAGCGGTGGCTCTGTGGCTAAGGATCTGCGCCTGTGGCTGGAAGGTTGCCGGTTCAAATCCCGCAGCCGGCAGAGGAATCCTACTCCGTTGGGCCCCTGAGCAAGGCCCTTAACCCCAACTGCTCCAGGGGCGCCGTACAATGGCAGACCCTGCGCTCTGACCCCAGGCATTAGTATACAATATTGGCTTTTTTGAGCCCAGTTGCAGCCCCCCAATTCTGTTCGTTAGAGTCAACATGCAAGCCTGTGATTGGGCACAATTTGCCAGATAGAAGGTAACACTATGACTCTGAGTGAACTCTATGACTTGCTGTGCGCCTGCAATCGTGTTGGCAGCGAGGCCTGTTCTATTTTTTCTAGTTAGTAATGACTTCTGAGGGCACTGTGGGATTATCATTGTGGAGGGGGTCCTGACAGTGCACATTCCAGAGCAAATTGTGCACAGTTCTCACCGTTCCTGTGATGGCATGAATAATAGGGGCAAAGTGAAGTTGATTTAAAAAAATGGAGATCCACATTAGGGGCACATTAAAGATACAGGTTTCAATAATAGATTAATTTCAGATTTTGAGAAAAAAACTAAATCTGTAGGTGGTACATGATATATGTTTCTCATTAATTGAGCAGATACACAGAATACATAAAATATTTTTATCAATGACAAAGAATGGCAAAGAAGGAAAGTTTTTTTTAATTTGGGAACTCTTATAAAGTAAGATATTTCTTCTGGGACATCATCATAAGCTTTGATGAGAGTTTTCTAGTCTATTAATGTAAATGGGGGAATATAAATACATTATGCATTATCACATCTACACTACATTAGGAACCTCATTTATGGAATAAATGCATAGTGATTATATTAAGCAACTACAATGGTAACAATTTTTATTTCTTACAGATTACATCCTACATAACCAATCTTGTATATTGTTCACTTACCACATTGACTAATGGTAGACATTCCAGACTTACATTTTACTAGGACGAATATAACTCAAATTTGCATTTATAAATGTGACAACATAATCCAAAGCAAGTAACAATCATATCCATTTAAGATGCTAAAGACACAATAGGTGGGTGGACTAGTATTTTAAATCTTACGTGCTACTTGCACACAATAGTGATACTTACCCCAGTGTCATCTCCACCAAGGTGTTCTGACTGAGATAGACCTGAGGCTTTATTCCACTAGAAGTCACTGGCAGGATCTTCTGAGGCAAAACGTCCTGTAGCTGTACAAGCAAAAACAATATTCACAGAAGCAATAATTTTGCTGGTAAGCAAAGTATTTTCTTAACTATAATTGAATAAACTATCAGTATTTTCTTCACAGTTACCAAATACAGTGGGTGCTGACCATTGTCAGGTAGGCGGTTGTTAGGTCTATGCATTTTACTGAAACTTACCATCAATGAATGTAAAGTCTAGAGGGTTTGTGATGCCCTTGGGCATGCATATCTTAGCACCCCAGCATGGTATAAATGTAAGAAACCTACTGTATGTGGTCTGAAAAACACATACAAGCAAAATACTCTATGGTTACTGGATTCTTCACATTTCAATGTTTCCTAAACCCTGAAATCCCAATCTAAGATTAACTAGTTTGGTGAAGTGCTTTGGCAAGGTTGTTTTTCAACATACTATTTAAAAAGAAAGATATTTTGAGACATAAATAACACATTTTGTAGAAAAATAAGCTCCTTACTGTTCATTTATAATGATATCCTTAAGCTTGACATTAATTGCGTACTCATTACAAAGGCAATAAGAAAACCTCCAGAGAGTGTGGAAGAGACTGGAGTTGACCATCCTCTTCACATTCAAGGTCTTTGAGAATATTTACCTAGCCATGCTGCAACTTCACAAGAAGACCGAAAAACACTCTCTTTTGAAAGAGAAAACACACGTGTCATTTGGACACTGTTTTAAATAGATCTTTCCATCTCCATTTAACTTACCTGGTAAACCCGCTCCAGGAAAACAGACACCTCCTGCTCAATGTTAATGAACTGGTTAGTCAGATTAAGGAGCTGCTTCCTGACTTGATGAACTTTCCTGCAACAAAGCATCAAATTAAAAACTGATTAACCATTAACAGCTTGTTAAAACATTACTCAGTGCACCCCTGAACTTGAACATTGTTGTTCATATTCAAGCTGAACACCTGACTTTTAAAGTGACACTGCACATATTTCCTTATTTCTTGTGAAACAGTTTTCAATTGTTCATAAGCAGAAGGCACAGACCTTACATGAAGCAGGATTGTGCATTCCTATAAAAAGGAATATGCAAATATACACAAAAAATGTAACACCTCTTTCCTCATGCACAGGGCAGGCTACCTTCATTTCTTACTTGTGTCCGGCATATGCCTTAAACCTCAAGCCCCTGCCAGTCACACAAGCGATTTCACAGAGAACTCTAATATCTTTAATCAGTTCCCAGATTCAGATTAACACATTTGTATTTAAATGGGTACACTTGAGTCAGGACTTTGCATAAGATGGAGATATAACAGGATGTAGGAACCTTTCCACAAAACCAAACACAGTCTAGGATCCACAGTGTAGGATTTTTGTTTTAAAATGGGATGTCACAAATTGCTACGAATTCTCTGGCAATATTAAATATGCAAATGTTACAGAGAACTTACCTCATCCATTCCTCAGCCTTGGACAGAAAAATGCGATACTTCATGGCACAGTCTTCGCTAAATAAGGTGGTTGCCTTTGTTGCATGTAAAACAAGCTTCTGCCTAAAAAGCAGAAGCAGAGCTGTAGTTACCTAAGTGATTCTCTGTTAAATCATGAAAGTGTTAACATTCAGAGTGAAACTAGAGGAACATACTTGTCAAATTTATGTATCTGTTCTTCATTGTAAGGCAGGCCTGGAAAACAAACAGAAAACTATTTAGGATACTGTTAGATCTTCAGCTGTACCAAATGAAACCACACATTGTGTTCATCAGACAATACCGTAAGCACAACATAACTATCCTCATTATTTAGTCATTCTAAGCACATACTGTAGATCAATAGGGAAATATTTGAACCAGGATACACGTCCTACGTGGAATTGCATAAAACCAAGAACAGGAGGCACTTCTTTACACAAAGGGTTGTTGTTGACAATAATACCACACTGTCTTTCAAGAAATAGCTATATGAGGTACTGTCGGTTTGGATATCTACTGAAAAATGGCCTCTTCTCATTTGTCACCGTTCTTATACAAAGAAATTGAACATCCTGGAATTGAGATTTGCTGGAAAAAGAAGCAGAATCTGAAGCTTTCCTTACACACTTTCACAACCCTGGAAAAAATGATTGTATTGCCCTCATTAGCATTCAAAACAGAGTTCAAGGATTAAGTCAAATGTGTATGGATATTTTTTTTCAGCCAATACATAAAACATTAATAGATGTCTAAATTGTTCTGTTTAAGTTCTGTCCTTGATATATTGTTGGCTGATTAAATATACATCCCACTTACGTCGTTCAGCTTTGTCCTTTTTAAACTGCTGGTAGATTGCAGTGATATAATTCAGGAGCACTTCAATTTTCTCAACACTATGCCCAGAGAAAACATGGCAAGTTACTTGATTATTAACAACATAACAGACACCGTTGGGACTTCACAAATGAATCTAAAACTAAAAAAGCAAACGCTAATTTCAATTCAGAAAGAGCATTTAATAGTGCTTGCTGTTAGATTGATAAAAATCAAAACGTGTCAGACCGAAAAGGTGCCTTAAAGGTGCCATTTCACAAAAGGTTCTACAAACATTTTTATCAAAAACAGTAAAAGTGAATGTAGACAATAAATAAGATAAATATAAAACATGCCACTCCTGTTATTTGCAGATTCAAGAAGTCATGACTTCTTGCAGATGCAAGAGGCAGACTGAAAATGTGTGGGTAAAAGTAAATAATTCTGTTACAAATTGATAAAATGCTTTCAAATGTTTTTTTTTTATTTTATTGTTGTAATCAGAATTTTTGGTAACGCTTTCTTTGAATGTTGCTGTATAATGCCTTCATATCTACAACACAAGATAACATTCATAATGCTTTATGGGAACATGCGTGTGCAAAAGAAGTCATGATATACGTTTTAGCAAAGGTTTCAGCTTGGATCATACCAAGCTCTAGAAATGAAGCTAAAACAAACCTAAAGCACACATTATGTAATTTGTTTACAGCTCTATAAAGTCTATGAAGATCATAACATCTTTAGTAGCAGTTATGAGGGCATTATGCAATCATTATGCAGCAACATTTAAATTAAGTGTTGCTGAATGTTTTTGTGTGTTTTGAGGTTGGAATACTATTCATAAAGCCTATCTTACTTTCTGTCCTCAGGATGGGTTCCAACTTGCTCTGACCAGGTGTCTGTCAGTAAACCTCCAGGCAAGAACTTGTTCTTAATTTCTTGCAGAGTGTTGTCCATTGATGCCAAAGAGCTAGACAGCTGCAGAGAAACAGAAAATGTGTTACACTCAGTTTTATTCCAGCATACCACTTTATTCTATGAATGTTGTACAGATGAGAGAAGTGGGTGTGTTGATGAAATTTAGACTACTTTAAATTAACTGACTTTCCCAAATGTTTAAATTCTGTCCAATTTTAATCAGCAATCTTCCACATATTTAAAGCAGTACATGAGATATTTTCAGTTCAGCGTCATTACAGAAGGAATGACTGTTTAAAATGCCATTTCATGAAGTTGCTGTCTAACAACACTTTCGTATATGTTTGCTGATTACATAAAAAAAATCCATATGCCTAAACGTTATATTATAAAATACTGGAAAAGTTCAATCAAATTCTCCATGCAATTTACCAAGATGCAATAAAACAACATAAAAATAAACTTCTTACTACCTCTGAAAACATTCAACCTCCTATTCTCTTTTACACATCATTTGCAATCTTTGGATTCTGGCTGTCTTTCAGTTGGCCATATGAGGCTCCAAACACAGGGGCTGTGCTCTCTGTTCTGTGGTCCATGACTCCCAGCCCATATCAAATCTAGCTAAAAGCTCACTTTTATACACCGGCTTTTCATTCTGTGTACTGTTTTAATTTGTGTGTGCTTATCTTTAATATGCTTTATTACACAGTTCTTTTAAATGTGCAATGGGAAGTGCCATATAAAATAAAGGTTATTTCCTGACTCTGAATCAATTTACAAGTAAATACCTTGGATGGCTGAAACCTTCTGCTGTTTGTGAAGGTTCACACCACTATTTCATATGGAAAAATTGGTAAACCAAACACAGGACCATCAAAGATTTGCAACTAGAGTGCCAAACGTCCATTTTCACTGTCACTTCTTTTGGGCTCAGTATTTCAATTACATGATAAACAGCGAACAGAGCTTTCAGACCGACATACTAACCCGTATGATTTTTGTTCTAATCTCTGAAATTTCACTCATTTCTGATGATAACATATTTGTTTGGATCAGGGCCTCACACCTGTTGACAAAAAAGAATGAAGACCCAGCTTAAAGACCTTTTATTTAAGAAATACCTTAAATAAAAGCGTACATATCAGAATGAATTGTCAGATTGTACTGTATATGGTGAGGCATTAAAACACAATGAACGAGCATTTGAACTATTATCTGCTTTGTTAATATCTTTCAAAATATTAATAGTGTTCAGAAACACTGCAGTGCCCACTGGATTTATTCATAACCCTGATGAAATAAGAACAAAAAACAACATAAAAAACAGAGAGATGTATGGACTGAATTATGCGTCTCACTTAAAAAGATCTAATGTTGTCTTGTGATCATATTAGCATTGCACAGTACAAAGGTATATTAATTATAATTAACTGAATTCTAGAAAATGAGAGCCACATGTATTCACACTCCTGTAGTTTAGAAATGGTTTTGTAAACCTTCACCAGACTGATCTGACAGAAAGGGCTGCAGGTACAGTATCTAGAGCAAGCTGCTCAGTTACGTTGCTGAAAGTGATACCACTGCTTCCTTCAAGAAAGGGCTGGAATAGATCCTTGGATCAATGAGCGACTAGCAACCAAACAAGCTAGATAGACTAAATTGCTTTCTCGTTTGTAATCTTCATTTGTAATGTTGCTTATATTTTTTAGGAACGTCACAAAAATCCTAACAAGAAATTATAATTCCGAATAGAAACTAGACACGCTTACAGATAATACCTTGACGTAACCTGACCAACTCACTACAAATAGAGAAGAACAAAACTATCACTTAATGAACCTTATTCAATAAAGCACAGAATTACATATGCTGTTTTTTTGCTGAATGTGCAATGGTTCTATATAAAGATGCAAAACAATACCACAAAAACATACAAACACATGGTCCCTCAGTAGAGAGACTGTTTTGTTTTTTTCTTTCTTTGAAGAGGAGACTTGTAGAGCAATAATTGCATCACTCTATTTATGGTGTGGTATCCAAGGGGTCCTAACAGAAAGTGCACCAAAGAAGCAGTGCTTCCTCTTAAAGTTAGTTGAACTAGCAGCCCTAATAATGTACTTACAGCTGCTCCGTTCTTTCTAATGTCTGATTGCAGTAGCTGCATATATGAATGACCTCAGTTTTCTTATGTACAGTCTCGTTGTAATCTTCTTTCATCAGTTCTCTGCAAAATGAAAAAGATGATTTGCACAAAAAAAACTTCTGAGGACCTATATTACATATGAATTCCTATCAATATCAAAATAATAACTGCTTTTATTTGCGTAGCACTTTCCATCCCAAAGGATCCTAAACACTTTACTCTCAAAGAGGGAATATAAAAATACCTTACCAAATGAATTTTGGGGAAATCTGATATCTCAAATTGCACAAGGACAAAGTCAGTTTCCAAACAGTGGCATTGATCTTTAATGACCAAGCAGTCAGGACCTTAGTTCAACATCCGATGCTTAAAACACAGAAACTTCCACAAACCCTTGTCCCTAAACTAATGAATTGGTTTATAAATTTTGGGCCAAGGAAAAATGTGACAATAACTGGTGCACAACTACTGCTCACAACAGTAGCCTGGTTTCTTTAGAGTTCTCCCATCCTAGTACTGACCAGACAAAGCCTTGTGTCGCTTCCAAATCTATCAAGAATTGGTACAAGGTGGTAATGCTGTTGTATTATGGTACCATCCTAAAGTACAGACACAAAAGAAGTGACAAAACTGGATGGTCTTCTAACATCTAACATTCAGAGTACTGTATAATTTTAATGTTTTGTTGCATTAAAAGTTTGCAGTAATGACACTTTGAAGTACTGTAAAAGTATTTGTAATGTACACAACGTACCCCACACATTCAAAGAAAAAAACAAAAAGAAATAAGTAAATTAATAATATACAGTAAAAGAAACATAAGAAAGTTGTGACTAAAAAAAAAATACTCAAACCTAAATTAATCTGATTAACACAATTACCTTTATTTTACTGACGAGGCAAAAATCAGTTGAGTTGCCCTGGTCAGAGTGCAATAATAGTAATTTTCTCTGCAATGGTCCTTGGTTAAGTAGTGCATTTCATGCAGACTCAATCATGAAGATTATGGAGCTTTCAAATTGTGTTATTGAATAGCACAAGTCAGGAGAAGAGTGCAAAACAATATGTAAGTCTCTGAATATCCCGGTAAGGGCAGTCTACTCAATCATCAAGAAATCGAAGGTGTATTGTTATACCAGACCCTGCCTAGATCAGGGCACCCCTCCAAACTATGCAGACAAGTGAAGAGAAAACTGCCAGGAGATGCCACTGTGAAGCCAACAACAACTACTGTATGAATGAGCTACAGAGCTCACTTCACAATGCTGAGCTGTATGGCAGAGGGGAAAACCCATCTCATACTGTATCACAAATGGAGATTGCAAGACCCTAAGCGTTCCCACAAAAATGTGACAAAAGGTGTCTTGGTTAAATTAAACCAAACTGGAATATTTTGATCTAAATACCAAGCCTTATGTCTGATGCAGAGCTAAAACAGTACATCTCCCAGTCAATACCATCCTTAAAGTTAAGCATGGTTGGTGGCACCATCATTGTTATGCGGATGCTTCTTGTCAGTAAGGACAAATTGCTCTTTGTCCTTGATTGATAGAAGGAAAAATGAAAAGAGCATAGTACAAACACTAGAGGAAAACCTTCAGACTTAAAACTGGGGCACAAGGCCAAAACTACATTGGAGCAGTTTAAAAAGAAAAAAGTGAGTGTTCTTGAATGGCTCAAAGCCCTGACTCTATTGAAATCTGCTGTCCATAAGTGAACCCAAAGCAATTTGATAGAACTTCAGCAAATCTGCCAAGAAGAATGAGTGACATTTACACCCAGACAGTGTATAAAGTCTGTGGAGGATTACTCAAAAAGACCTGTGGCAGTAGTTTCTGCCAGTTCTTTTCTCTCTCGTTTTTTGTTGACATTTACTGTATTATTTCTTACATTTTGAAGTTTTCAGTTTGAGCAAAAGGGTTTTGAATCAAATATGAAGTTTAAAATATATGGAGGAAAGGTCTTTATACTTTTGCAATGGAGGAGAACACCGCCATTTAACAAAACAGTTGTGAAAAAACTGGAATAAAAAGAATGAGTGTTTGGAACATAAAAGCAAACATCACTGCCAATATTTACATAAGGCCTCTGACTCCTTTTCGCACCAGCTCTTGATACATCAGAAGGGATTTGGATATTTTCCACAGGTGACCAATATCCCCTGCAAAAGTCTGCAAGAAAAAGCAGGTGTCAGAAATGAATGTCCCCGTTAGCCTTGTTTGCAAAGCTCCAGTCTTTTGCAATAAACATATTTTTTATTGAGATGACTACACAACTCTATTGATATCTATTATTAAAACATAAATGGCCTGTAAATGGTACCAATGTCAAGAACTCTTCCAGGAATTTAAAATGGAAAGGGGTATACTCATTTTCTCTTTTACATAAAGTACAGTAGATTGGAACTTGGTATTAAAGAAAAATTCCAGCTTCAGTAAAACTGGTGCAAGTTTTTTTCTCCCCAGGTCATAAAATACAACTGTTAGAAAAAAAAAATGCCCCCCCAAAATGTGAATATTGCACTTTACCTACCAAACGTATGATATTCAATTAAAAACTTTTGAAACCAGAGAAGGATACCAAGCTGCTGATATTACTTAACAGAGCTTTAATGCTGTTATTGCAAGGGATCAAGAAATAATTACTGAATAAATAAGTGCCAGTGAACAACCTGCTTCAAATGCTATTCATCAAGTAAATCTGACAATCCACACTGTGTTCAAAATATAAAAAATGGACTGGGCCAGCACACAACACTCAGTTTTTATACTGAAATATAGTATGTGTGTAAAGTTTGCCCTTTTACACAAAAATTGCACCTGCTAAATAACATGAGACTGATAGTGAACGTCAGCACCATGTAGAAAATGCTGCTCGGAAACCCCCTCTGTTTCTGCGTAATCAAATTTTGCCCTTCAAGGCAAAAAGTTCCAAAGGAAAAAAGGTATCAGCTTTATTCTGTATCTGCATATTGGACATTATGTTACAGAGTGTCACAAAATGAGTGCATCTAGCTTACGTCTGTTTTCTTTCATTTTTTTCATTTTATTTTTCGTCCTTTTGCAGCACACATTACACATACTGTATTAGGGGTTGTACAAGCTACAATCTTTCCCTCTTCTAACAAAATAAAGATTCTTAACTAACAGCCAAGGATGAGTTGCCTACCCAATCCTGAAAGATCAATCACTACATTAATTTCTGCTTATTAAATCATGTTGAAGAATATTTAATGAAAATGAAATAAACAGGTTTTAAAGAATTTTGGTCTGTATCTCACAGAAATGTCTTTTAGTGCGAAAATACAAATACAAATAGGACAAATAGACCTAGGACAAATATGGCACACAAATGGCAAATGTCTGAATTCACAATTGTTTTCCACTGTCTTGAAAATAGTCAGATTTTAATTATAAGCACATAAAAAAAGTAACTTAAAATTCTACCCCAAATTAAACAGTTACAGTTTTATTACATTCAGACTACCTGTACTAGGTAATAGAAATAAAAAATTAACATGGAAAAAAATCATGATCAGTACCTTTGCATAGCTAGCATCCAAATCCAAGTCATAGCGGGGCTGTATCTTTGGTGCAGTAGCTGATAAAAAAAAGAAGATTTCAGATTTCTATCCCTTTATATTATACATCATTTATACATAATTATACATAATTATGAATTCATGATTATAGCTTAATGGCAATGAAATTCAGCAAAGTGTCTAGCAGAAGCCATATTTCCTGCTTCAGACCACAAAAAAAACATGGAAAAAATTCATGTGAGAAAAACAAACCCCCTTCTTTCAAGAGACACAGCATTCCAAAAAGAAAGCTGAAATAAAATCAAAAAGAAAATGATGATACTCAGGTATTAATCAATTAAATGATCATTAACATTTTGAATTGTTGCCTGCTAAAAAATTAACTAATCATGGTACTGTGTTTTTTCTTTATATCTAGTGATGTTTTTCCTTTGATACTTTAATACAGAAATGTTAGATCAAATAGCATCAATTATATGTTCTGTATGATCCGTGCCGCGATTCCTGCACAGTGTTCTTAAAAATGCTTTTTGTTGCTTTAAAGTGAAAAAGAACAGAGATTTATAGGCATTTAATTGTTGGCAACAATTCAAACAATGCTATAGTTGTAATTGCCCATTTGCAAAGATTTGGTTTGTTTTACTAAATTTTAGAACATCCAGGTACAGCAAATTTCTACATTACTTTGCCTACTTCCAAACATCTCCTACATTCAAGGTTAATCACTCCTACAATTCTGGACAAAGACCTCTCTACATAGGACTGAAAATCGCTCTATATTCCAAACACACTGATTCACATGATATAACCATTCACAGGGTTATTTTCTTCACAGCCTGTTCTATCCCAAACACAAAATGTTCTTCCTTTTTACAATTTCTGGTTCTGCATTATTGAGATGGACTTCCAAAACCAATACTTTATAATGCACTGTTTTTCAATGACTTGGGAAGCTGCTGCATTGACAGGATCTTCAGCCAACCCCTCAAAATCCTTGAAAAATCAACCCAACAAGGCATTCCAGAACCGCTCCTCCCTTATACCCCAACTCCCTTGGGGTCATCAAAGAAAACATCCATTTTACAGGAAGACTCCTTAACTTGAAAAGACCCAACAGTCATTTCATAACACCGACCACCTAATCTATGTAGCCATCTTCTCAACAGCCACCATCCAAGCCAGTGTCGACTGTTAGCAGAAGTCGATAAAACACCTTCATATATGTCCTGTAGCACGCACCTACATGGCTCCTCTGGCCATTTCAAAATCATTTAAAGAGCACGTGCAGTAAGCGATCTCATTGATGGTGTCTCATATAGAAAGTGCCCTGCCATTTACATTGGTGTAACAGGAAGAGACTCAAGAGGAAGAAGACCTTTTTGGAGAACACATCAAAGCAGCGAGGACCAAAGATCTCTCAAAACCCACAGTTCCCCATTTCACATATCATGGCCATGATTTCATTGGTGTTTCCATTTGCATATTTTTTATAGAGACTCCAAGATTTATATTGCAGAAAGACTTCAGAACCTAAGGCTATCTTAACAATTCACATCTTCTTACCTGCATGTAAGCATGTGCCTATTCTTACACAATCTGTCCTAGTCTACTCAATTCAATTCAGTTTTATTTGTATAGCGCTTTTTACAATGGACATTGTCACAAAGCAGCTTTACAGATTTCCAGGCCTGAATTTCCAGTGAGCAGGCCTAAGGCGACAAGTGGCAAGGAAAAACTCCCTTAGACTAAAGTAGGAAGAAACCTTGAGAGGAACCCAGGTTCGAAGGGGGAACCTATCCTCCTCTGGCCGGCATAAGATTAAATTAGAATGAACACATATGAGAGTCCCCTGTATTCTATTACATGGTGGGAAAAGCACAATCTTGTATGGTAATGTCCAACAGTGTCCAGGAAGCTCAATTGGCTGCCTTCAGTTAGGATTTCTCTGGGAAGGGCTTTGTAGAGGATCCACTGTTGATTTTACAACCGGTAAAAGTCTGCCTTAGAATTCTACGATCTGAGATTCCAGTGTTTATGCTTCCAAGTATTACTGCTATTTGTAATAAGGCTACTCATGGACTTTAATAAAACAATGTGTTGGATATGGCTGTATTTTGCCGAGTAGGAAATTACTCAGAAACTTACGTTCTTCAAACAGCAGCCCAATCATGCTAACCAGATCCCGGCTCACTAGAATGATGGGGTTGTCTTTGGAGGTGCGAGGGAAGGCCTGTGCCTGTCTGTTCGGGTCCAGCACCAGTCGGCGACCCTCATACATCAGCTCTTGATTGGGCGGAGCAATATTGGTTCTCCGAAATAGTAGCTCTTGGAACAGAGTAGCCCTAAAAAAAGCCAGATCACGATTACTGACTCAACTAAATTTCAGAGAAGATCTATACTTCCACTACACAAGTTAGATTACCTTAGAAAGCTATACAATGGGACCTACAAGCTATACAGTGAGACTAATTCCACAATGGCTAAACTATTTAAGAACCACTGATTGATACATTGAAATCTATAATATCTCCATATAATGTCTAAGACAATTAATGAATAAAGGACATGACCTCAACCCTTTAAAAATAAATTCTATATATTATTGCAAATAATTCACAACTCAAGTTATTACATGAAAAGCAACCTTCTTAAAAAACCTTCCTGTCGATTATAGGCAACATTAATTCATGATCTGAAAAAAACCCACAAACTGGTAACTGAAATCCAATTGAACAAATTAACATTTGTGATGGACAAGGCGTCCACTGTAAAAATCATGGGCTAGTAGCATGTGGCCACTCCTGGAACAAATACAAGCTATATATCTGCAACACATGCACTGTACTAGGTTGCAGATGCTATTTCACAGGTTCACAGCTCATCCCAAAAATGTTCAATGGGATACAAGTGTGGTGAGCAGGGCATCCACAGCATAACCTTGAGGTTATCTACTGGGAGACATAAGGATAATCGTGACCAATGAAACTCACGTGTTGTACTGGTGTATGTAGATGTGGTGGAGTGTTGCCTGCTGAAAGCTGAAGACATACACCACCGTTCTGTGCAAGATATCGCTGGTTTCTGCAAAAAACTGATCAAAACCCCAGCACTTCTCCTGGTCAGCTTCCAGGATATTGGCAAGCACTGGTGTCAACAGACTCTGCAAACCCCTGAAAAATGCAATGATAGTAAATATGGTAAAATAAATTATGTAATTTATTGACTAAAAACATGTTTTCCAATTTAAGTTTGAATTAACTGACTAACTGCAGAACAGGCTTTTACTAAATGCAAACATCCATAAAGCCCAGAGCTTCACTATTTTATTCTTTAAATCAGACACATGACGCAAATACAGTATAAGACTAAATAAAGCAAGGAGAATGACAGGCTGAGTGTTGACAGTAAAAGAAAAGGCTGAAAGAAAAGTCTTTCATTAGAAAAGATGTGAACCTTGGAAACTGACAGCAGTTTTATAGCAAGGAGAAGAGAAGCTTTTTTCTTTTTTTTTTAGAACTAGAAAGAATGCTGTTATTTTTTAGAACAATCAATATCGGGGAAAGACTGGCCACCCCCAATATTAGACAGGGACATTCAGAGACCTGAAAACTCAAAGTGAGCTAGGTGTAATTTTAGTTTATCATTTTATTTTTCAATATTTTATCCTTTAATATAATGAATGCTGTTTTAATCGCACCACTGTCTTTAAATGTGTCTGTCTTGAGCCCCGCCTATCTCAGTGTCCACTAGATGACTGCATCAAACAGTTGACTTTAAATCTTTAAGGCCCAAGGTCGTGTACAACATAACCTTTGAGTGGGCTCCTGCAATTCAAGATCATACCACTTTTACCTGTAAGCTTTTTATTTGGCAATACATGATGGATAGCCTGATATACTGTAAGTCTTATTTTGTGTGATGAAGTATTAAATACTTAATATCAATAGAAATCAAACAGCTTAAATGTATTTCTTATTCAAAGTTATTTATGTTACTACTAGATACCAGAACACATGGATGACAAAAGGGAAAATCCTCACAGTGAACCAGAGAAGAGAAAAAACTGTTCAATTTTTGAAGACTTATCTTCAGACTGAACCCTTCTGACAACAGAGCCTTCAAGATCTGTAATATGCTTAAAAAATTAAGTGCATCTACCACATTTTCTCTAACAGAAACACTTACTTGGAAAGACTGCACGAAACTGGCATCTCTGAACTCCACTCAATTTTTCCATTTTCAAACTTCTGCACTCCAGATATCGCCCCAGGTGGCTTCTCTGTGATGATTTTGTACCTATGGAGAAGAAAATCAGGTTTTTTCACGTACTCGGTATTATTTGCTGCATATAAAGCAAAAAAATGACTCAACTTGACAAACATAGAAATCAATTTGATTCCACCCTCAGAATTCAGAATTACTTTTATTTTATGCATCATTAGTATCATTTTTTCCAAACAGACCAGTCTGTGCCAAAGACTTCGGAGTGTTTTGTACATCCATTACATTATCTAATCGTCATGAAGGAATTTGAAAGGAGAGAATGCAAATCTTATCTGCTATTAAGGTTTATCCTCCAATAAAAGAAAAAATAAACCTGCTCCAAATTTAATTGCTTGAATGCTAAACAGAATCACGTAAGCAGAATTTCCAATAACTGTGCCACCTTTGTCACCCACAATAATTTAAATCGCTACAGAGTAAATGGATGTGAGCTGCTGGTCTTACATGACTTCTTTGTTCCTGCGTGGTCCTTCGAAGGGTCTGAATGGAAGACTACCAGTGGCTGCGTGGTAGAATGTCACGCCAATGCTCCAGAGGTCAACGGTGGCCCCATACTTCTTTTGGTGGTCCTTCCTGAGGACGGCCCGCTCATACATGTCGGGATGCTGTCGGACACAGCACAAACGTGCCATTACACGTCACAAAGAACTTTTTATGCAACTTAAAGAGCTTGCTAGAGAAACCACAATGCAAAACCAGGAGTTGCCGTAACACTCATTCAGGGATGGGAAGAAGGCAGGCCGCAGCCAAGTCTGCTCTGCAGAATCCATCCCTACAGGCCACCATAAATTTGGCCACAAACGGTAAATTTAAAAGATGGGAGATACTGAAACCAATTTCAAGATTACATACTGGGTGCAAAATTATAGGATAAAAATGAATTCCCAGCTTGAACTTACCAAATACTCCTCTGTCCCATAAAGGGAAACAAACTGCTCATCGTCTTCAAGTTCTCGAGCTGCTCCAAAATCAGTCAGCTTGTACACAGAGCGGCCATCTTCTCCAATCATACGCATGATGTTTCCTGGCTTGATATCACGGTGAACTATGCCATACTCCCTGAGGTGATTCATTCCAGCAACTAAAACAGACACACAGCAAACCTATCAGCCATTAAAACAAAGTGCAATGAACAGCTTTGTGAACACTTCCTGCCTTAAAAAACCTTAAGCAATTCTGAACTTAATCCCCAAATCCTAAATAATTTTAATATTGGCAGAATCTGTTAGAGAAATAGGAACAAATGACCATGGTAAGGGTGCAAGAAGGATCCACAGCCGAAACATTGTGTTTCTTTTCTTCTCTTTTCAGCATGGAATAAACCTTTACTTGTTCCTTTGCAGCCTGCCCATGCTGATGGAGCTACCTACTTGAACTACTTCATGGTAAAGTTAGGTTGCTAATTCTGCATAAATATGCAGATAAATACCAGGATTTAGCTTGTAAACGTAGGAGTAGGATATCTAGAGTGGTCTTGTCAGAGATTCCACCAGTGTCACATGTAAGCCTAAGGCTTTAAGGGGAAATATGGGCATTAAACATAGGGCTAATATACTGGCACAGCAAGGATGGGGTAGTTAGGATCCTTCTGGAACAAACAGGACCTGCACAAGCAGAAATGGTTGAACCAGAAGAGTAGCATTGTTTAGTATTGAGGAAGCATAAACTAGTTTTGAGGAATATTTAAACAAGGGAACTGGGATTCACAACAGGCCAATTGAAGGTAAAAAAAGGTTGAAATAATATGGTTAGTGATTTCTTCTTAACCCAGTAGGTGGCACTAGGAATCAGGTCTTTGAAAAAACAGTATATAATTAATGGTGGTGAAATGCTAGTGTGATGGCTTTAATCGTGTAATGTAGGCACACCTAACAGAAGGAAAACAATAATAATAATGTGATAATGTTGCTTTATTAGCCCTATACAATTTCTTGCATTAGGAATTTGTCTTTTATCACATACCCCAGCTTGCTCTCCATGAGACACAGACACACAGATAGGGAGAGAAGCTTGGGGTCAGAGCGCAAGGTCAGCCATTGTACAGCACCCCTGGAGCAGTTGGGGTTAAGGGCCTTGCTCAGGGGCCCAACGGAGTAGGATTCCTCTGCCGGCCGTGGGATTTGAACCAGCAACCTTCCAGTCACAGGCACAGATCCTTAGCCACAGAGCCACCGCTCCGCCCCAGAAGCGTTCAACAGAGTGGAGCCTGTTTCGAACCTACATCTCTAGGGGAAACTACAATCAAAAGGCAGCAACTCAAACCGCTCGGCCATTCTAACGAGTGAGTGAAGAGAGGTATTAAGGGAAAAGGAAACACAAGGAAGGAGCTCGGCTGTCACGGATGTTGGAAGGGACAAACCGTGGAATGGCAGGAGAGCGGAAAAAGACCCTATGCAAAGCGGTGGAGCAGGGAGTTAGCCTGGGCTCAGCAGTGCAAGACCTATGCGGCGACCTGGTGCTAGGCAGGTCTCAGGACATCCGAACGTCAATGCTGAGCGAAGGGGAATGAGTGACCCGGAAATATATAGCCCCAGACAGAGAGACACCGGAAGGACAGACAGCAAAGCACAGGAAACTAGGGACAGGACAGGGTAGGAGCGCCTGTCAGTGGCAGTGTCTAAGGGAGGTGAGGGGGCAGGGGTCTTTAATGAAAGGGATTGAACTGAGACGCAGAAGGGTGTGAAAGAGGGAGAAAGGAGCTCCATCACTATTACGTAATTTTAGCATATAAAAACTGAGGATCTACACAGGCAACTTCAGCTTAACAGTCATAAATTGCTACAACCTCCTGAAGAGATGGTGAACATGAATTGTGAATGTAAGACTGTGTTTAATTTGAACAACAAACAAGGACAGTTGATAACGCTAAAGCATATGACATGATACATTACAAAAGGCTTCTGATAATGAATAAAAATTTACTTCTCATAAAAATTTAATTCTCAGACTAAAATCATTCATGAATAACCTTACATTTTTTTTAAGGCATGGGCATATATTGAGATCTGACTAACAGACAGGAAACACTACATCTGGTGTACCGCGAGGTTTTTTTGTAGTGGGTCCGCTGCTCTTTCTGATCTATATCAACTACTGTACATAGATTGTGGAATAGTTTATCTTCTTACATTTGCAGATCACACGGATATTGGGGCTGTGGCAAAAAGAAGTGGCAAGGCAATTACAAAAAGACTTGGCAAATGAAATTCAACATTGGTAAGTGCTTCACAAAGAAAGTAGAGAGATAAATTGTTCATACTGTACAGGTGGTCCTGAGCTGTAGGATACTATGCAAGAAAAGGAATCTGTGTGTGAATGTGCATTCGCCTATGCCCTTAACAAGACTATACAAGGAGAGAAAGAATGAGGAAACCATGCTTGATTATGTGGGAAAATGTATGAAATTTCAATCAAGAGAAACTGCTCATGGTTTTCAACTCACCACCAAGACCTCAAATAGAGTATCGAGATAGAATATTAGTTCAGTTTTAGTCATCGTACCACAAGAAGATATTACAGCCTTAGAAAACGTTCAGTGAAGAGCACCAAGAATTATTCCTGAACTCAGGGGATCGTAATATTGTAATATGTAGATTACGATCTACATCTCTACAGTCTTGAGCAGTGGGGATTGAGAGGACACTGTATGAAGGTAGATTACATTTCCAAAACAAGTCAGCATTTTTATCCATTAACGCCACAAAATCATCAGTAAATTCCAGTGAGTTCCTAAGACAAGAGTAGCTTTAATGAAAGTACCCCGATTTATTGACGCCTTTGAGTCTTCTGAACATTTTGTAACTATTGGATACCCAGTATTTCAGTAAGATATACTGAAAAGCCAAAATGGTGATACATTCAGGAACTTTCCTGATATTCCATATTGCTTAGAGGAATATGCAGTATCTTAAAAGATTTAGTATCAATATCCTGAGAGAAACACTCAACGTGATTCCGATATGCGATTTCTTCCTCAATTATCACTGAAACATCCTTCCTCAACAGGAAGTTATTCATCTGAAGTACTATTATTCAACTGAAAACCCAAAGGAGAGAAAAGCTTAGATGTCCAGGTCTCAAGAACAATCCTCCTCTGAAAACAGAAAAACTGTCTCACCCACATCCTGCAGTACGATGAGAAACTCATCCTCTGGAAGCCCGTAGGCATTAGAGGATTCCTCTAGGACCGTGTAGAGACTTCCACAGGGACAGTACTCCATCACTAGCACCTTGTGCCTAGTGTTCGTCTAAAAGAGAAACAAAATGCTTTTTTTAAAAAATACACATTAATACAAATACTGCAATTCTGTATGGCATACAAAGGAGCAAAACAGACAGCACTGTATTGTTTCTTTTTTGAATAGAATGTTTCAATGAATGCTACCCGCTGTCGGGGAATAAAAGCAAACAAATAAGGTTCTTTTCTGGTTCTGTTACACCTTAGAATTTTACACCTCTACAGGAGAAAACTTCAAGACCATTTTTCTCACTTTTGTGTTTTTAAACTAGAATTGGCAATTATTTTTTGTGGAGTCTGTATGTTTGTAATGACAGCCTAAACTATTTTAGGAAAAAAATCATAAAATATATATTGCCACCCTTGCAATACATAATGTAAGAACTGCAATCTTCAAGAATTCTTTTTTTACAAATTCTGTAAATCCAAGTTGAAACATGAAAAAAATACTCAAAAACGAAATTCACATTTTTAAATTTCTATGTAACGTTTTTTTTTAATGTACATTTCTATGTATTGTTTGTATTAGAGATCAAAGTGGCTAAAAGGCGTCATGCGATTTTCTGGAGTCAGTGAGAAGGGAGAGTGCTGGAGGCTCTCACTGCCATGGAGTCACAAGCAAAAAACATCAGAAGCAAATAAATGAGGTGGGGGGGGGGCAGTTTTGAAACCAAAGAGCGTTGGAGATATACATCAGAATGGGTTGATTACATGTCAATACAAAACCACATTTCTTATAGAAACATAACAAGGGCTGAGGAAATTGTTATCTGTTTCTGGAGATGATTCAAAAAGTCGCCATAATATTGACATAGTTACAATTTGTGATAAACATCATAATACAATACCCAGAGAACAAATACTTATATAAATAGAGTGACAAAGTGGTGAAAAAGAGCTTATAAATACAACTTTATTATTAATATTATATTAACACCATCCTGGGTATACCCTGCCTTGCACCTGTTACTTGCTGGTTTAGGCTCTGATTCCCCTGCAGCCCAGAATCAGAAGAAGCAATTAGAAAATGGATGGATGACAGAAAAATATTTAGGATATCCAGTCCAATTTTTGTGTTGCACATAAGGTGTAAATTATTACATTTTTTCAGGATTAACATTTGAAGCCTTACTTTAGCTGTTCAGAACAATGCAAGCACAATACAGCAACTGCCATAAAAAAAACCTGGGGTATCAAAAAATATTTTTCTGTATAGTATACCTGTGGGAAGCAATCAAATCAAAGTTTGCACTGTACATTAAAGCTCATGACAACAAATAGATATATTATTTGCACTCCCCAGCTCCTGAACGACAAAAAAAAATACCTATTATGTCTAGGTGATCTATTTCTCAAATATAATAGATTTAAATGCATCTTTGAAGGGGCTAGTTGATAGCTGCACCCAAAGAAGGGGGAGGGACAGAAAATAAACTGTGCCATCCCAACAAAAATAACTTCCTAAGTTCAAGGATTCATCGCATATACAATTGCTTTCCGTTTTAAAATATTTTATATTTTAGTTCATTTTTTTCTTTAGTAGATTAGACGCTACTCTTATAAGCAAATAGAGCCAGGAGCTTTGAGGTCATCACTGCTTATAACACCAACTTTACCACATTGTAGCCAGGTCAGATCGCAGAATCTATCCAAGACTGGACCCGGGCAGTACTGTAAAAAGAGACCTTTACAGACAGTTATGTTGCTGCAGTAAATGCTGTTGGTGGACTAGTGGTTGGTGCTGTTCTCTTTGGCTAAAAACTTCTGAACCAATGCCCCAGTATGTTAACAGGGGAAACTGTGCTGTACAAAGTGCCATTCTTTATTTGAAATGTTAAACTGGGTTTACACAATCTAACCTTTCTAAATTTCCCCCTTTATAAAACTGGTGACACCTCTTCTCACTTCTCCACCTGATCTGATGTATAGTGGAAATGGCTGCCACTTATAACCCAGCTTGGTGCGCTTCACAGGCTGACGAAGTGGTTTGTCTCCCCTATGTAAAGAACCTTGGAATCCTTTGGGATGGAAAGTACTATATTAATGCAATTCATTATGGATTATTTCTATCATTTTGTCTCTTCGCCAACAGCTGAGAGCTGAACGTAAGTACTGCGATTTCTTGATTAATTCTCAGTCAAGGTCATCTTAGATTACAAACCTTTCCATCCACTGTCTACCTGTTTCTTCCAATACAGGGTTGTGGGGGAACCCGAGCCTATCCCGGCAAGCAACAGGCAAAAGGCAGGGTACACGGACACAAACACACATACTCACACCAGGGCCAATTTTCGCAGAAGCCAATTAACCTAGCTGTAAAGGGACAGGTAAAGGTTTACTCCATGTTGAACAGAAAAGAAGAGACACAACGTTTTGGCTGTGGAGCCTTCTTCAGGAAGGATCCACAGATGAAACACTGTATGTCTTCTCTCTTCAGCTTGGAATTAGCCTTTACCTGTTCCTTTGCTACCAACGCATGTTAACACAGCTCCCTACTTGAACATCTTTAACCTACCTGTATGTTTTTAGACTGGGGGAGGCACCCGAAGGGGAACATACAACCTCCATGCAGAGAGAGAGCACTCCAGTTCAAGAATCGAACCCAGGGCCCCAGTGCTGCAATGCTAACCACTGCACCACTCTAAATCACAAACCTCCTAACAAAACTGCACCATATTCACATTGCAGGCCCAAGCGTCTTACTAATTTTTTCCAAAACCAAGCAGAAAACACATTTGCTTCCATTTAGGCAGAACACCTACCTCCTCTTCCACAGCAAAGAGCTTCACAATGTTCTTGTGATTGAGCTTCTTCAGCACCTCGAACTCCCTCATCTGCACATCCAGGGGCCGCAGGAAACTCAGGTTGTTGAAAACCTTGACAGCATAGAGGTCCCCAGTTTTCTGTTCAAGACAAAACACAGTAAACGATGAGAGGGCTTTTATTAATATGGACGGATAGGCTGCCACCCACATTTGATTTGTTCTGGCACGCGTTAAACATTTCTTTTCTTTCACATTAGTGCTCCTCAAATGAGTGGATGAGGATGTACATGTGGATTCAACTTTGGAGCCATGAATGGGTAATCTGAGCTGAACTGAGGGGAAACTGACGTTTTACTTCCCCTTAAAGCCAGGCAGTGTCAAAGCATTCACATCAGAAATCACAGGTAACACCAACTGGCTAATACTGTACCAATCCTACTTCAAGTCTATAGTTCTTCCAGATTTTTTTCCAGAATAAGATTGCCAGTATAAAAGCGTACATTAATAATTCTGTCAGTAATTCTTCCATTAACTAAATAAACAAACATAGCAAAACACAGTTTGAATTGAATATATTTATTTGGAAATATATATGCAAGCTCTTGAAATGTGTTTGTTTTTCCATTTTTATATTTCCTTCCAGTGTGTGTACCCACTAAGACGTTAAAAATCTGATGTTTCAGAGTTGATGCCTAAGTGCTAACCTTGAATTCAAGCCCTGATCCAGACCTGTTCTGTCTATACTCTCCATGATAATTCAAGATGTTAAGGGCATATATATTCCAGGCAGAAATGGGGTGTGGGGGCTGGGGGTTTAATTACCAATGTGAACCAGACAGATTCCTTGTTCAACATGTCTCAGACCCACTACAACCCACTACAGCAAATGTTGATACCACTTAGATGTTGAATGTTGATCACCCCCATCTATCTGTAACACTTATTTATCATAATTAATGCATCCCTGATGTTGTAAGTCAATAAGGCATCGGGGACCCCACTGACCTTGTGTCTCCCACGGTACACGTTTGCGGTTGCTCCTTGCCCAAGAAGGTCTGACATGAGCCAGAGATAGTTTGCTGTGCTCTGCATATCTGCTCTTCAAAAGAGACTCTCAACAGCACCTGCCAACAACAAAGCACATCCTTTCAGCTTCAGAGTGCACCTCAGGCCTCCTGCATTGCTTCGTGGTTAAACAGTGTTCAGTACAGAACAGGGCACGCTTGTGGTCTGCTGCAATGTATTCACCGAGTAGCATAAGTCTTCAATTTCCCATCGTGGAAAACAACTGCACATCTAGTAGCAAAGAAAATCACTAATATATTGTTATTAAGTTAATGCCTCGTGAAGTTTTTTAGCTCGTTTAAAATTGTGATTCGCTTAACCGTTTTTTAGAAAGAAACAGCAAACGTCTCAGTTTCACAAGGAAGCTGCCTTAAGCTATGTATAGCGACATGCAAATACAGTCGGCCTCCTTATGTACAGAACTATTCAGAAACAAACTAGAGGATTTTATGAGCCGGATATGGGCAACGGTATTCAAACTGTTACTTCTTTAATCTTGTGTCTTTCAATTCAATAAAGTCTCAGGTTTAGCAGAGTAGCATCACTATTTATACCTTAATTCTTTTTTTTTTGTTATTTCCTAAAAACGTATCCCAGGAGTAGTATACTTTTACATATATGATTACCCGTTCTCTGGTGTGCTTTGGCTATTCAGTTTGGACTATGGACTAAGGCTTTAACGTATAGGGAAAAGGAAACTAAAGATGTGAAATGTAGATAATAGACCAATTATAGATAATAATCAATAAGCAAGACTTCTGAACATTTCGTCTAAGAGAGTTTAGCCTGAGCTCAATGGGTAAAACTGAGTAATCAAGAGTTTCGAAATTCTTAGAAAATATCTAAAAAACGTCTCCAGAATTTCACCGAGTAAGACAAGGTTACCCACCCTTGACTCAAGAAGTAGAATTCTTGTAATTGTGTTGCTGTACTGTACATAACCCCTCACAGAGCCAAAGACCTTGAAACCACTACACTACAGGATTTACTACAGTTAACAACCTGGTTATAAATTCACAAACATCATAGCGAACGTGTCCAACTGGGTAAAATGAAAACCACATCTAATTCATTATTGAATTTTCTTCGCCCGTTTCGTTCAAATAACTATTTTCGACTGTATACATAATTTACGTTGGAATCTATTCGTGCTCTCCGGTTCAAAAAAGAAAATTAATAATTTGCTAAAAACATGAAAAGGTATCAAATACGAGCACACGGTACCGTAAGACGAAACAGAATTCGACTGTAACACATGTGCCTTTGGTTGGGAGCGTGACGGCGTTGCGGACACGCAGCGCCGCTGGAGTAGGAAATCTCCCACAAATACAACAAATATGCAAACTGAGGAGATCAGACAAGGCCAGTAGGATGCCAGTTTAGAAAATGTGGCGCACATTATTTCCGATGGAAACACCACTATCTATTATAGTAGCTTACTGAAAAACAGAACTAAGTGTATGATAGCGTAGCACACATGAACGATTTACCGCTCTACAGACAGAAGTAGCTAATGCAGTATTTACCAAGAGACGCCTGAGCGGAAGAAACGTTGATTATTTCTGTTTCACATCATTATTGAAATTTACCGGCGTATTGTGTGAAATGTTTCAGGCCTAACGGTCATAACATATTTATAACCCCGTTAGGTAAAGCCACAAAGCATAACATTGCAATTGGCGACCAATAATAATTAGCGATATGGTACTGTTCCTGTTTTGGAAACTCAAGTGAAACAAAACGCACTAGATCGCAGCAAAACGTTTATTTCAAGGCACGTTGTTCAACGTAATTTATTTAGCTTTACAAAATGTATTCTTGATATGCACGCTTATTATACGTTGTTTTAAGATCATACATTTATGCCTGAATAATAAATAGAAACAATTTTATTTCCTTACCCCCTCAAAAAGCTAAGTCCCCTTTAGTTTCTTTCACTGACATCATATGGTCACGAGTTGAAAATGACTCAATCAGCAATGAGATACCGAGGAAGAGTGAGAGTGGGCGTATCTGAGCTTTCTACCGTAATTATACAAATATAAAAGAAAAAAAATAAGTGTGCAAAACTAGTGTGTTGATACCACACTGACACCAGCCAGCCTCAGGACAGCACTGCTAGAGCACCACAACTCAGACTCAAGCACATCACAGCACAGATCAAACAGCAAAATCTCACACACTGGGACACACACACACAAACACAACATAAACTAGAATGCTACAGAACCCTTAACAGACAATACACACTAGCCGAATATTTGACCAAGGCAAGAAACAGCAAAAAGAAACAGACACTGAAGAAGTATAGGCTCAGTGACCACAACCTGGCCATAGAAACTGGGCAACACAGGCAGACCTGGCTGCCCAGAGAGGACAAGCTGTGCTCCCACTGCCAGCGGGGAGAAATTCAGAAATCTAATCCCAGAGTTCCCACACCTGCCAGAATCCCAACGGGTTCCAATCCTACTGGGAGAGGGAGGAGGGAACTCAATTGAACTGGCAGCCCAGTATGTGATCTCCTGTCACAGCCTGAGGAGCAGTGAGTCTGTCTCCCAATAATGCTCCATCTGTCTACAGTATATGTAAATATTTTATGATATGTCTTTGTTGTCTGTAATATGTCTGTAGATTTTATTTTACTTTTATTTTTTATTTTATTCATGTGAATTTCATTATTTTTATTTGCTTTGGCAACACCGATTGTACCCATCGGCCATGCTAATAAAGCACCTTGAATTGAATTGATAGCAAGAAAATGTGAGAGCGAAAGTTTGTCCAGAACGTCCTGAATAACACTGCCAATAACTTTTAATTTTGTTTAATTTACATTTTTAATATCAGTGTAACTCTCTCTTCTGCCTGACTGATTTATTACATGATCATTAAATAAAATAAACCATAATACTGTCACAGTGACAAATTGGATGTTGGGCAACATGTTTCAGTGACTATATTGACTTTAGGTTTGTTTACAATGGCCAGTGTCTTTATCAGAGTTGGTTTATTTGTCCTTTCTTCTTTGCTCTCTGAGATTTCACTCTAATCAGCATCACATCAGGACTTCCAGGGGCAAACAGTAGGACAGTTGGCAGTCGACAAAGATGGTTTGACACACTGTTTGCATAGATGCTCATTAATAACACAGTTCAAAGGAGACATAGGATTGTGGGACAGGTTTGACTAGGCCTGGGACCGAGAGTGGGCTCCAGAACAGAGGAAGAATGGATAATAATAATTAATAATTTTAGAATAATTGCTTATACTTATATAACATTTTTCTGGACACTCCACTCAAACCACTTTACAGGTAATGGGGACTCCCCTTTACCACCACCAATGTGCAGCACCCACCTGGATGATGAGACGGCAGCCATAGTGTGCCAGACCACTAACCACACATCAGCTATCAGTGGGGAGGAGAGCAGAGTGATAAAGCCAATTCATTAGATGGGGATTATTTAGAGGCCATGATTGATAACGGCCAATGGGAAATTTCAAGTTTCAAGTTCAAGTTTATTGTCATTATACTCATGCACAGGTATATGGTATAACAAAATGCTATTTAGCTACTGTAGCTCTCAGATGTTAAGCAGTGCAAAAAACAAAACAAAAAACAACAACAATACAATTGTATAAGAAAAGAAAGACAGAGACAACAGCCAATGTGCAAAACAACAACAGGTAACAGGTAATGTGCAAAACAACATCACTTGTGCAAAATCATACTGTACATCAACAGAATGAAATAAAGGATAGAAAATTACGGGGAGTGAATGTCTTGACATGTGAGGTACTGTAGAGGTAGATTTCAATGTGTGTTTGGGTTTTGGTAAAGAGAGAAGCCACTGTGAGGGTTCCGATCATAGGTGAGAGAGGCTGGGAGTTTAAAAGTTTGATAGTGCTGGGGTAAAAACTGTCTTTGAGTCTGAATGCTCTGGTACCATTTTAAAGATGGTAGAGGGTCAAACAGTCTGTAGCTAATTTGACCAGGATGCCAGGGTAACACCCCTACTCTTTTTGAGAAACAACCTAGGATTTTTAATGACCAGAGAGTCAGAACCTCAGTTTAATATCTCATCTGAACACCCCCTGCTGGTCCCACTAATACCACTTCCAGCAGCAACCTTAGTTTTTCCCAGGAGGTCTCCCATCCAGGTACTGACCAGGCTCATATCTGCTTAGCTTCAATAATTTGCCAGTATTGAGTTACAGGGCGATACGGCTGCTGGCCAATACATGCATTGTAACACCTGGCACTCTTCAGTCACTTCATTAATTAGCCCCCAGTTGTTAGGTCTGCCTGCACCCAAGACATCACAAGTACACTTCCCCTGCTCATTCTGGAGCCCTGAACCATGGCCAGGAAGGTGATTTATAAGCCTCAGTCAGGGGAACTCCTGGGAACAGACTGCACCACTGGATATAGGAGAGGACTCGGACACGAGAGGGAGAGCAGAGAAAGTCTCATGCATAGTGTTCCTACCACCTACCATTACACAATATTGAACTGCAATACTGAATGTAGAAAACAGGGCTGATTGGAGTGTAAGGGACCATGTGTTTCGAAATGGCTGTGACTGAAATGAACATTTTGGACACCAAAGGGACTAGACAAGAGTTTCATATTTTTCTTCACTAGGGCAGAAAGAGGAACAGCGGGTTACCAGACAGAGTTGTTTCTGGAGAAGGCAATGCTGGACTGCTCTCTTGGGATATTGATTTTGGGTAACTGGGGTCAGTTGAGTTTTTGTCCCAAAATGTGTGTCCCTTGTGGATACTTTTTTGTGTGCTCGTTTATGATATGTTTATGAATGTTTCAGGCATTCATCTGAAGGACAACAGGGCTTTCACTGGCCGATCATCAAACTTTATTGATAAAAACAAAAAACAAAACTAGCCGACCAAGCCAGAAGAAGAAAAAGAATAAAGAATAACGGACACTGCGCGAGCCTGCATTCTCTCCTCAACCTTCCACACCACATTTTCCCCTGGGTCAGAGATTAAACAAAACTTTACTCGCACCAAACAAATTACCACACACTGAACACTGAACATAACCCAAATACAGCATGTCTCACAATAATATAAAGGTAACTGTTTGTAGCCTGGTAGCAAATAACAACTATAATTATGTGAGAGAACTGTCCTGTCTGGCCTGTGGGAGCACTGGAGGTTCTGTGAGACCCAGGTGGTGTCTCTTAAAGTAAGTGAATTCAATTATTGAACAGAAAATTATTGAATACTTATTATTACATCATTTTAAACGCAATCATTTGTTGCATTTTTACTGCCTCCCAGTAGGATATAAGTAAACACGGTCTCACCATCTCATCAAATCTCATCAAAAGTTTATTTGGTCATTATTTTAAATATTACCACCATTGATACGGTGAATACAAGCTAAATTAATATGCTCACACCTGTAGAAGGCTCCACGGCCGAAACGTTGGATTTTCTTTCTTCTTTTTTTCAGCATTGAATAAATAAATTAATATGTAGCTTAGGTAAACACGTTAACTAACCGCGAAGAAAAAGAAACGTGCGCGGCGAACAGTTGTCTTTTCGCAATACAACTCGGCATAGTTTTCAAATATTACATTCCTATCTAAACGTATCTAATATTTAGAGTAAAACAATATTCAAAGCATTTTAATCATTTATTGTACCTTATTAAACTACATCGGATGTACAGTATTACAAAAAAACTTTGGTGTACCTTATATCTGGTTCAAAATTATTATTGCATATTGGATACTTCCCTATTTTTGTACCTTGTACTACCTATTTATTCATTACCGTACTGTGCTCTCGAATTAATATAGTTAGATTTCCTAAAACATAACTTAGAAATCTACACATAAAATTGCTGTAAAAAAACATTTCATTGATAATGTGGGATACTAATTTAAGTCCCTTTTGATGGTTTCTCTTATTTGTTGCGAATCTGAGACCGAAACCTACAGTAGATATTTACAGTGAACGGAAACCGGAACGAAATCACTATTTACAGTAAGTTTTCTGAATGTCATTCTCTGACACACCAAATTGTTACATAAAAACATTGAACAGCAAGGAATTAAGTTTCGGTTTCTATTTAGGCGAATTTGTCAGCTTCGAGTGGAGAAAACAAAACTTAAATTACTTTTTAAGTATTTCAGACAACACCGTTGCAGTTGCTGTCTGTAAGTAACAGCTATCTGTAAACATGTCTACTGTAGACAGATTAAACGACACTGAGTATATTAACTGGCTCAAATTAGGGGTCTGTCTAATGGAGATTAGACCTCTATTATCAGCTCTGATTGAAACTAGACTAGAAGACTTCCACCTAAAACTGAAAGAAAAACGGAATGATAAGAGATGTTCTTCGAGATGTTCTGTTGCAAAGGATCAGAAGGTAAAACTATTTCTCCGAAAGATAACTGGAATCGTTACAGGCACATTCCCTGTGAGCAGCAAAAACCTAAAAGAATCACCTTTCGTGATCTATTTTTTTCTTTTAATATTGTGCCTTAACAATTATGGAACTATGAACTTTGATTTGACTTATGATTGATTAATGATTGAGAGGCATTAAAACAAAACAAGTGCTATTGGTTTCCATACCCATTTGTTGCATTTTAATGTATCAATACATGTATATTTACAACTGGGACAATTAGAAGACTTGTTACAAAGCTAAAGTCTTATTTAGTGTCCACGAACAAGCTTTGTGGCATTTTTCTCTTAAGCAAATAAGCAGATTTGGTATACCTGAACTGAAGTTAAAAATAGCAAAGGGACATAATCAGGATATAGTAACACAGTTAGAGCGAAATTGTTCTGTAGCTGCTGGATGCTTAAAAGTTGATATATTTCTGAGGCTGCCGGTAAAGATGGAATCATCTTTTGTGTTGCCCATTTTATTTTATCTGGTACATTAAATAATTACATGTTCTAGAATATAATTTAATGTAAAAATTAACTGAATTGATGTAAGTGGAATGTGAAACTTGCACCATAGTGCAATCGTGTATGAACATTACTTTATGACTAACCAGAAATAATAAGAAAGTGCCACCCCTGAGTAAAAACTGTATAGAAAGTACTAACTTTGAGTTGTGGTGTCACCTCTGACTGTGTAGTAATTAGCAGGCAGTCTAGTCAAACAGGGTGTCACTCAGTTAAGTGAAGATTGCGTATGTGCTATACTGTTTGTTCTATTGTGTCAGGAAGACCTGAAAACGAGAGAATCAGACACCAAACAAAGAAAAAACACACCATATTCTACAAAAAGATTGTTATATACATATCTCAAGTAAACGTATTTCTGTGATACTCAATCCCACTTTTGTCACACTGTGGCATTCATGTTACTCTTGGAAAGGTAACATACATACTAGTACAAACGCAATTTCATGGGTGTGTCATCCCTATTACTCCTTTCTGCCAGCTTGCGTGGCTGCTTTTCCTCAGCAATAATCTTAAATCAGGCAGCTGCATATTCCTTTATGAGACAACTTTGATGTATGTCTTATTATTCAAGAAGAAACAGAGACAATTGTACTAGCAGTTAAGACATACTGTATACAGTACACATAATCATTAGCCAGGCCATTACTGGGTACAGTCCACCTCAAGAGTACCACAGACATTTCATTCAGCTTTAGTTATCCGACTTTTTCTAACAAATGACTTGGTTTCCTCTAGTGTCCTGAGGACCGTTTTCTTCATGGTAATTTCTTCATTCTTTCAATCCATTCCTGTATTTCTTACATTCCACAATGATCTCTTCTTCTAGCATGTCACCCATGTACCTCACTATTAATATACAGTGTGATACCTGCAGTATGCTACAGGTATATTATTATTAATAATGAGTTATTGTTCTATTTTATTACAGCTTACACATCTATGTGAGATATGCAGAGAGTGGTCTACAGTGATCAAAAGTTACCACAAAAAGCCAAAGAGCTACATCTATTGGAATAACTGTAAGCCTTTCCGCTGGTGTGATGATGCCTTGGAGGTTGCCAAGGTGAGTTTCTATCCATCCTAACTGCTTCATCCAGTTCAGGGTCACTGGGCTGCCGGAGCCCTGGCTGGAGGCAGGGTACATCCTGGACAGGACGCCAGTCCATCACAGTTGAAAGCAATTTTATAATAATAATTTGATTAATGCTAGATATAAAGTTATTTGTCTTTGAACATCTACTTTTGTTATGCTTAAGAATATGCTATATTTAGTTTGCTTCACTGCTTTTCAGTGTGCAATTTCTTTTAAGAAACCATTGCACATTGAATTATCAAAAGAACACTTCCTGTATCATAACCTAAGTACTGCATATTTAAGTTGTATTAAATAGGTCAAGGCAGCACAGTATAATAAATACACGTGGTGCCCAATTAACTGAGTATCATTGGGGCTGGTAGGTTTTAGTCTGACAGTCGCTTAGTAAGAAACAATGAGACCAGCCACAAATAAGAACTTGTTTTATATTGTGGTATCCCGAGGGGTACAGTTCTGGTAAAGTGCTTTTGCGGTGTTGTAAATTATGTGTGTCTTAGAGGAGGATCATGTTCTAGTACTAGGGTACAATACTTGAGTGTGATGTTGCTGGCTGATGAGGTTACTTAAAACTGTGAGTCTTATGGCACCAGCTCTTACCGTGTAAAGCCAGTTCCTACTGGATGCTGCTTCTGGTAGGAACAGAACAAGAGAGAGGACCTTACTGCAGTAGCATGTACTGGTTACCACTGTTATACTGTGCTGGTTTCACTGCCTAGATACAGTAGGTGTCAACAAGCAATAGACAGTAAGGTGCTGTGATCTATTATCTTACTATACTGCATTGCCTGGTATACTATGTGTCTTAAGAAAGCAAGTACTGTGCTCAAAGAGTACGAAAGCTATCAATGTCTAAATACTAGAAGATATTTAATGTATTTCAGATTTTATATACTCAACAGATGAAACACAATCCATGCCTTCAATGAAATTAAAATATATTATACTGTATACAATAAAATATATATTTTCCCCTAGGCATACATGCCCAGTCGGCAGGAAGATAATAACCAAATGTCAGATTTTGATATCGCTGCACTTCTGGTTCTGATGAAGCAGTGTACACATTTTGAAAAATTAGTTCCTGAATCAGTCCTTGACAAGGTAAAGAATACTGCATGGAGATTATATTTTTAGTCTTTCTTTCTTCCAGCAAAATTATAATTAAACTATGAACAGCTAAGTAACACCAGGAGTGGAAATACTGAGCTTTGCTGTGTTGGCAAGATATCAGATGTTAGTGATATAACAATGTTTTATATTCAGCTGCACACATACAGCAAATATTGGTACTGAGTAACTTAACCAAGGTAACACATACATTTATGAAACAGAAAATCTTGATTTTTGATATTTATTATGGATATTTAAACAAATCACATCCAATACTTTTTTGGAAATAGTAAAGTCAGAGTCACTGGTTTGTGACAGTGTGGAACAGATAACAGGGACTCTGTTGTTATTATTACAACAAATGAACAAGGTTAATTTTACACTGAAAAACAGAAAGAAGAAACATAATGTCTTGGCTGTTGAACCTTCTTCAGGTGTCTGGTCAAAGGGAAAGGTAACAATAAGATCAGCTTTGGTAGAGGGAGTAGATGATTTCTTGGGTTTATATTGTAGTTGAAAGTTTTGATTTCTGTTGTTGTCTGCAATGAGGAACTGGTAGAACTTGAGGGTTCTGATAAAGCAGGTAATAAGATGAATATGTTGTGGAGCTGCTTGTTGCAAAAAGTTATTTGCCTCTCCTATGTCAGTGTAAGGGTGGATCTGCTTTTTTAAGGGAAAGTTTAACAGAAAGCATTAGTTTTCTGAACAATTGTTGGAGAGATTTTTGAGTCTTGATCTCGGAAGTATCAGAATCAAAGGAAATGTGCTGAATTTCAGATGAAATCCTTTCAGGATGCCTTTGTTGTAAAAATGTCTGTAGAAGAATAGAAGGTGTTTGGAAAATCTCCTCTTAGAACAAACAGATGTGAAGAGACATGCTGGTTTAATAAATGAGTAGGATAAGGTGCCCAGGAAGGAAGAGAGATTTAATAGAAGGCATTAGAAGTTGCAACATCTTAAATAAATAATGATACATGCAAGTATTTACCTGCATTGCATCAGAGCTAAGGAATTATGCTACTTGTAATATAAAGATGTTTGAGTGGGAAGTTGTGTTAGCATACTTCTGTTTCAAAGAAACAAGCAAAGGTTAAATCCACACTAAAAAATAGAAAGGAGAAACACAACATTTTTTGTGTTTTGGCAGAAGACACCTAAAGAAAACAGCTGAGACATCGTGTTCCTTGTGGAACTGCTCCTTCATGGCCAATGATAGTTACAATAGGTGTCAGCTTTGTGATAGGTTAAGGGAAGTACCATCTTGTATTTCAGATGGTTTTCCCAGGTTCCACTCTATCACTCTGTCTATATCAACAGGCAACATTGCATTACAGAGGTGCAGCTCCATAAAGCCTATAGAGATATCAAGCCTGTATGACAGTTGCGATTTGGATAATAAAGTATTATACTAATAATACTTCCCTTGCCTATTTCAGTTTTTAAGTATTCACAATTCAAATTCAATTTCAGTTTTCAGTTTTAGAAATATTTGTATTTGCAAGTTCTTACGGTAAAAGGTGATTCATTCTTACACAGAGAAGTTCATTGCAGAAAATTTAAAATTCCTGATTAAAGAATAATTTGAGCTAATTTTACGTTACACACACAATTATTTTTATCATATAATTTAATTACACTTTGATATGTTATTTTTAATTAAATTTACCCTTTTAAATGAAGTATTGAATACATGTTTAATTTCAATGTTTCTCATGTTCTAAATAATGTATTATACTCACTGGACTGGACACTACTCTAAGAGTAAGTATAGACTGATATGGTTTTGATTTTCTTTTAAGATTCAGGACATAAGAAACACACTAATGCATTCACCAGACATGAAGATTTCCTCCACAGACGCTGAAGGTTTCTTCAAAGATATATTTATGTTTTTTGAAGCAATGAAGAGTACAGACCCTCTACTAGAAGAGACAGTGTGTGAAGTGGAAAACAAAACCCATAAGGTATTATTATTGTTGCAAAGAGTAACAAAAAATCATTATTAGCTACCAGAAGATCATCATTTAACTACTTGCAACTAGAGCAAGTGATTGCATTACTTCTATCCTGGAGTCCTTGCATTGGCTTTCCATCATGTTTTGTGTCAACTTCAAAGTCCTCATGTTCGCCTATAAGGCTCTGAATGGCTTGGTACCTCATTACATGTAACATAACTTACCATCGCCCTACGCCCCACCTCACAACCTTCGTTTGTCTAATTCTGGTCCCTCAAGCCCGACATAAAATAAACATAAGTCTACATAATATAAATGACATAATATGTGCCGCAAAGATCTGAAATTCTATCCCTAAGGATATAAGAGAATCACCCTCCCTGAGTGTTTTCAAATCCATAATCAAAACCTCCTTCTGTAGAAGGGCTTTTATTTAACTGGTTCTGTGTCTGCCCTTTTGTTTTCCAACTGTATTCCAAACCCAACAGTGGTATTCTGCTGTCTCCTCCCGTGTATTTTTTATAAAGTGCTTTGAGAAGCCACTTTTAAAGGTGCAAAATAAAACAACAATTCTTATCATTAATATTTCAGAGATACTGTTAAATATTTGTCATTCTATTAGATTTGCAGATCTCCTCTTAATATCAGTCTTCGGGAAGATCTTAAAAACAGAGAGATCGCTGTCTTTAAGGAAAACATACTAGCTCTTCACACAGGGGCTGACAAAGACTCTTTTCAGAAAGTAAGTATATTGTTTGCTCTTTTACTGATACATGAACAGGTTGAACAGGCTTCCTGGAGGAAGTGCTGTTCTGCTGTTTTAACTTCAGTTTCATAATTTAAAACACAAAGGCTGTACTGTGGAACCAGTTGTTTTAAAATCCAAAATTTGTTGAGAATGTATTAAATGTGGAAAGGATGGGTTCAGTGATAGCACATTAAGAGATAAATGAGTTAAATGAGAAATAATGTGATTTTATGTAAAAACAACTAATTCATTGGTAATGGAGTGCTAGATCTTGCAGTTTTCAGACATACTGTATTTGGATTATTTTATAATTACAAGCAAATGGGATTTTCTCAGTTTTAATATCATTTCTATCTGTAGATGTACTGTATAGTACTTGTTATTTCATCCGGTACACCATTGACGTAACTGTTTAGAATTTATAGCCCAGAAAGATAATACTATCAACTTTGTTTTAAAAATGTAAATGTCATGTTCATTAAGGTCAGTTCAGTCTTTGGAGTTGTTTTTGTGTCTTCAACACAACACAAACACCATCTGAAAAATTTTGAAAACCATACTGTCTAACATATTTAAACAAATCAACTTTCACTCTTTGTACAATAGTGGAAAATATGAAAAAATCAAAAGTGAAGAGATTTATGTTTCTAAAATGTAAAAACTGGTTTCTATATGCTTTGTAGTTGGCCTCTGAATCAGAAGTGTCCATTTTGTCTCCAAAGGCAAATATCAACATTGGTTTTGGAGATATTTGTTAAAGTTTTGTATATTTGTAGCTTTGTAGATCTCTTAATCTCCAGCTTCTCAAAAGCAAAGTTTCAACTTGTCCAATTGAGCAAATACTGTAATTAGTTCAATTATGTACTGTAGTAGTGTCATTACGGATTCAGCTGGAAGGAAAACCAAAAACCTTCTGGCCTTCCAGGAGATCTCTGTACTTAATTAATAACTTGTATTCATATTTTAACAGCAGATGTCTCTATTCTGGTATTTCATCAAAATAATAAAGTATAAACAGATGCAGAACAGCATGTGACAATAATTTAAAGAAAAGAAATACAGTATTAAGTCATTGAAAAGTTTCCATTCTTTTGTAGGTCAATCTCATCCTGCTGAGACGTCAAGAGTGGTGCATCCAGAATGGCAATCCCCAGGGGTTAGCTGAACTTTTAAACAAAGTTCGTGATGAGCTAAAAAAGGACTTTACAGAAATTAAACAGAAAGTGGACTGCATAGACCATAAACTTCAGAACATAGATGAAAGGGTTGCACAGCTGGAAGGTGAGAACTGGTCCTTTGTTTGAGCTTACTGAATTTGATACTGTAATATGCACAATTTTGAAACACTTATTAAAACATTTATTTCTGACAAATAGTACATAAAGCAAAACGTAACGAGATTTGCAACTTTCTAATATTTTTGTTTTATGGAGGTAATAATTTTTTGTTTAAAGCTTTCCCTCAATTCACAGGAATTGTTTTAATATTGTTACAAATAGATGGTAAGAAAATAGAAAATTGAGCAGGAAAATCAATAATTAAAATAAATCATCTTAACCCCTGAAATTGTAAAAGATATGACAAAAATATACCCAAGCAGTTAGTATAGTAAGCACCATCTGAGTACTTTGTTTGTTTGGTTAAAGAGTAATGAATCAGAGGCAAACCTTTGATAAATAAATATTTATTGGTAATGACAATAACCCAAACTAAACAAAACACAACACAATATACAAAATTTAAGTTACTTTATTTACAGACAAGGCATCTTAGAAGCCCACATCCTAACCAACCACCACGTTCTTATTTCTCCAAAAACTAACAGAGGACATAGAACAACATTTAAACTACGCCCATCCCACTTGTCCTTATCCAACTAATTATATATATGCTTGTTATTTTTTTTTAACTGAAGCAAGTGGAGGTCTCTAACACAGACAATACAAGACTCACAATATTCCAAAATGGCAAAACATATCTATGTGTAAAGATGTACTGTATGCATCAGTTTTGTCTTTATTTGTTATTGTCTGCCTTCCTCTTTTATTCACAATTGCTGGTAATAAATCATGTGCTGACGATATATGGGTATGGGTCTTGGGATTCAGGTGAGTATATCTATTTCCTTGGTCTTGTGACTCAGTCATCACAGAACCATTAGATGTTTTATTCACTATGTTTGAATGAACATACCATTTTCATTCAAACATAGTGAATGATTCTTCTGTAAAGTACTGTATATGTTATTAAAATTGGATTAGAACTCAATCTTCTTAGTCTTCGTTTGTCTTTTCCATTATTTCTTAAGTAAGATTGAGCCCAAAAATGTTGAGTAAAAATTCTTTCTAGCCCCTTGTGACCATCAGTGGCAGAACAAAGCTAAAACAGCAAGAAATTTCAAAACTTCCTTTGCTCTCTCTGACCAATAAGGCTGTCAAGAGCAGTTTATGAATCAGAACATATTCAGAAACCGCAGACAAGTGTCACTCGCACACTATCAATGTTTGTGCTGATTCCCTTCCTAAACTGGGTCAGTGTGATGTGTGGAAGCTTGTCATCCAACAGCTTACCTATAAGGATCATTTGTAACCTCTGTGATATTTACTATAATTTAAAATACACTCCTGTTTTTTTTTTTGCCTTGGGTGGTTTTCCATGCATTACTTTGATTTAAAAATAGAGCTCCTAATTGTGCAAACACAAGGTAACTAACTGTTCACATTTGTCTTGTATGTATTACTTTCACTTCTATAAAGGCTTTGTAACTGTAAATACAGATAAAACAGGAGGTCCTATAGAAACGTGTTTAATTGTTGCCATATCATTAATTGCTGAAGTGTTGTGAATAATCAACTTCATTAACCAATATCTATTTCACTCCTCATTCTGTTCTCCATGTATTCCAGATCCACAAAATCCAAAAAAGCTGGTCATGTATAAGAATGATCTTATTTCACTAGCACAGAAGAAAAGATGGGAAACACCATTATTTTCAGAGGATATCAAAAATTATGGTAGAGTCTATTTAAGCATTAATACTTGAATACTTTGCATCCATAATTTGCTGTGATATAAATTTCTATACCATCTTTAAAAATGCAACATATCTGGTACATACTGTAGTGTATTGAGATGTGAATTGTGATGTGAACTTGAAATATTAATAAGTGAATTGAGTACACTCAAAGGCTTCAAAGGATTGTCTCCAAAATGTACTTGAATTCCTATACTGACCTGACAGTGGCATGCCACATTTCGTTAGCATTATGCTGATGAGAAAAATCAGAGAGAATCAGGAAGCAAAAAGTTAACAGAAAGGAGTTTTCTGTATTTGTTAAAGGACAATTTGTATAATGTACTGAGATACTCAGGGACATTAACAGGTAACATATGTATCTTCTGGGAGCTTAGATTATAATTTTATATACTTTTCCCAGCATAGTTTTTTGTACATCTGCTTGTTATTGCATGATCTTATGAACATGACTTCCAACAAAGGATGGTTCAGGAGAAGTACCTTAAACAGAAATTAAGATTTTCTATTTCTCTGCTGAATCACACCAGAAAATGGTTGCCAACATGTTTGATCTGGGACAACAAATCTACTTGCACTTGTATAGAAAAAGAAAGTATTTGTATGCTTCCCAAGATTCCCAGAATGAAACAAATTTTAGAAGTTTCCTTTTTTTCTAAAATCCTCGATTAGTCCAAGCACAGGAAACGGTATGATCAGTCCAAAACACTGACAAAGCAGCAGTTCCCAGACCTGGTCCTGTCACACACCTGTCAGTTCTTATTCCTGCCATGTTGTCAGTTTCAGACAGTTTTTTTTTAAACCTACTAACTATTGTATTTTCTAATTAGAATCAAATCCCAAACTCTTGAGTCGAAAAAAAATATTGCAAATGTTACAATCAAGCGGCTAGTTAATTCAATTAAGGCTTCAATTAGGTAACTAAACTCTGCTGGAATGAAGACCTGCAGGACCAGGATTGGGAGCCCCTGATTTAAAGTGGAGATGCTGCAGTTAATGGAAATATTTACATATTAATCAGCTACTTCTGCTATTAACCCTGTGCTTGGATTTTATGTACAGGTTATGTTGGAAAGGTCAGAGTGAATGGAGTTGAATATAAGGGCGAGACTGTTTATCCATCAAAGGTGGACGCTCATCAAGAAGTGTCAAAAATAGCTCTTGAAGAATTGAAAAATGAATTAGAAAAACAAGAAAGATCTGTAATTCCCCATCCAAGACCTATGCTGAATCTACCCTCAGATGATAAAGGTACAGTTGAATGCATTACTAGATAACCGCATACAGTATCAATCGCAGCAGAAAAATCATTGCTGAAAAAAGATAAGAATAGCAAATGTCAAAGGCAATTTAGTTGCAGAAGTAGCTATTTTTGCTTGAAATGTATTTTGGATTTCTACAGCTAGTGCAATAAATCCCAAATCACATTTGAACACACAATATTTATTGCTTTTCATGGGTATATGTATTATGACAGCCCATTAGCCATGTCAGAAGATCTTTAAAATAGGTAGGTCCTGGCCAACAGTCACACCAAACAGCTGTAAGTTTCAAAATATCCCTTAATTGAACAGGAAATATACACCACAACCAAACAGAAAAACAAAAGCCTGAGTTCCTTTTCCAGCTATTGACTAAAGTCTTCTTGAAGTCTCTCGCTGTCAAAGCTGACTTTTTTCTGTTTCCTGACTCAAAAAAGTCAAAATTCTTCCAAAAAAAGTCTCAGTGGCTCAATGATGAGTGACTCTGAGAGTCCTCACCATTTAAGCATTTCAAACCTGGTCCACAAAACTCACTAGTTCCTCCAGCCCATGGTCAGTCCTTCTCCTTCCTGTGAATAGTGCACAGGGAGTTTCTACCGTCTCACTTTCACCGACTCACACCAAGCCTCCGCTTCCCACTTTTAATCAGTCACCTGACCTGTGGTCTTCCTAAGTGGTCATGTGACTGAGAGCAGAAGTTCATTCCTCCAGAGGTATCTGTGGAATGTGCTCCTGACAGGGCTGTGCTCCCACTATATCCTGTATTTAAATGTGTGTGTAGTTCTAAAATATTGGAAATGGAAAAATTACATTATGACAGGTGTTTTTAAAATGTCTCCAGATGGAAAGAGATTCTCCTCAGAAGTGACTTGTGAGCTGAAGGGAACTTTTGTAAAATCTTCAGGGAGTACAGAGGAAGAAGCTATCCAATCATCTTACAGAAGAATTGGTTTGGCTCTCGGATTTTTAAATCCCAACTCAGGTATGTGCATTATAAGAGGACCCCCCCTTTTCAGTGCTCAAAGTTCCTTTGTATTCCCTTGTAATCAACTTTTATGTATTTTAATCTGTTTTCTGCAGGCTAAGCCACATTAATTCATTTCAGTTTTAAAAGAAAACTACAGCACTCTCGTGTATACCAAATTTTCATTTTTTAGATGTCTCTCAAGCTAAAAATATTGTTCAAGAAACTTCTAGATCAGATCTGGTGATTTCAGAAGACTCTACAAAGGAAGGAGATGTATATACCTGCAAACTAAAACTTAATGGAAATTGTCAATTCAAAGGGCAAGGTATTGTTTTTGACTTTTAATGTCTGAAAAGATTGTTATATCATTTATATCATGTAACTCTATGGCTCAAGTGAAGTGCACTGAACTTATGTATTTTTTTATCTAATATTCAATTGAATATTATGATGTATGGTTTATACTTTACATGTGTAAAGTATGTGTGCTCCATGTATGTGTGCTACATATTACACATGGAGTGATGGTGATCTGGTGTCATACTTAACTATATCTGTTTTTTATACTTTTATACACATTTTTGTTTTTATTATGTACTGTGCATCAGAATTGAATTTGCAGTGACTTTGCAATTAAAGATGGGACTTTAGGGACATTGCTTTATTTCATTGATTAATTAAATGCCCTAAAATCTATATTCCAAATGGACTGTGGGTATTTTACAAATGTTATTCCAAATTAAAAATGTTAACAAATGAAAACATAGCTGACACACTTTTGCATAACATTTTCACAGGGGATGATAAAAAGCAAGCGGAGAAAAATGCAGCAAAGAAAGCATTCATGGCTTTGGTTGCTATGAATCAAGTTCAAGAAGAGCAGTTGGATTTAACTGAAGACTCAAAATTAGACTATAAAGGAAAACTTCAGTCTTTCTTCCAAAAAAAAAAGCTTCCTTTGCCGAGCTATGACACCAAGGAGTCAGGTATGTTATTTGCAAAATGACAAGACAATAAGGCCTTAAAATTTCCTGCTTTTCTATTGTCTTATTTTAATATAGAGAACAGACCTTCATGCCAATGCTAATTACAAAATCACTTTCACTTTTAAAAAAACACCACATTTTAAATATCCGTTATAGCATTTTGATTATAAAGGTGAACTGGTTTGTTAGTTTTCTTCTATATACTGTAAATTACAGCATTATCAATTCTGTATATTATAAAAACATTGAACTGAGATTTTTTTAACACAATGCACAATTGTATTATGAGTAATACAAGTAGGTAGCTGTATCAGCATGTGTAGGCTGCAAAGGAACAAGTAAAGGTTTATTCCATGCTGAAAGAGAAGAAAGGGAACACAACATTTTCTGACACAATAAAGTTTCACAAAACGTTGTGTTTCCTTTCTTCTCTTTTCAGCATGGAATAAACCTTTTACTCGTTCAGTTGTATTATATGAGCACAATTGGTTCCAAAATTTCCAAAAGGTGGAATCTTGTAATCTTGTTCTCGGTAAAATCTCGTTCAAATTGTAAAAATACCTAATTCCCATTAAAATATCTGTAAAACTCCAATTCATTCCAAGTGCTCATAACTGGACTTAAACCAGTTAAGTTTAGGTACTTTTCTAGTGTAATATTCTGCATTACTAGCTTTTTACTTTTTTATGAAAGCTGTAAAAATACTTCAAAAAGTAATATGAAAAAGGGTTGGGAAATAAAATTTGCAATATAGTACACAAGACCAAGAACTAATCAAGTGTTATTACTAAACAAATCTTTATTATGTTAGTTAATGAATGTTTTGCAGAATAAAACCCATAATTGTAAAAATAAGAACATCAAGCTGTTGGGTGTTTCATATTGCACACTCTAAAAATGAAAACATTTAATTGTACAAAATATAAAAAAGGGGGAGCTTGGTTTTTGTGCAGGCAGAGTGGGGATTAACAGGCTGGAGAAGGCTGTTCAAGTTCACTCACGAAGGCTTATTCTTATTACCCTTTTTATTTACAGGGGGCATGCTAGTCACTGGCGAGCAGTAGCTAAGGGCTTGAGGGAGAGAAGGAGAGAGGGTGAAAGGAGTATTTATCTCACTTTTTATAAAGGAGGAGGAAAAAACTGAGGCTTAAGAGGAAAAGGCAGAAGTTGCTAGATTAGTCTACTCTGGAGGGTGCAGAATGCCACAATATTAATTTGACAAATTATGCATTCAAAATATTATTCTTCCCTCTAATACCCCTAGTAATACTGGCCTTAGTCTTGGTAAGACAGTTACTGTAGAGCAACAGCTGAATGGAATAAAAAATAAAAAATGGACGAACACGCTACACTTTTGGAGCTTGTATTCATTGGGAAAGTTCACACGTGCAACAAAAATAGGTTTGTGTAAACTCAATAAGTAAAGCGCTTGTTTAATGAGGAGTGAGAGTATTGAAAACAGAAGAACTCAGGTACTTTTCTAATCTCTGAACAGGCAGCAGGGCAGCAGGGATCAGCACAGAGAATGAAACAAACCTTCCCAATCATTCTGCAGAAAACATAGGTAGGCCTATTGATATTGCCTTATTACTTCTTAATACACAAAGCTCTCAACACCTGATAAGTGTATGTTCTCAGATTCTCTCACGTTTACTTGGATATGCCATGGTGATAATTCTAATGGTAAAATCAGAGTGGGATTTAGTAAAGTCATAGCAAAGCATAGGCAGGAATGGTGAAACATGCTACAAATTATAGAACCCAAGGCAGAGCAAAGTACATCCAGCATGAGCATGGTCAAACTATGAGGAAAATAGAGCTAATACACTAGACAATTGTAACTGTAAAGTCATGGGTTCAAATTCTGAATTAGATGCTCTTGTACTGTTGAGCAAAACGCTTCACCTGAATTGTTCTAGTAAAATATCCAGCTGCTGAAATGTCAGTATATACTATACTGTGCTAAACTGACTAAATGGATTCAGAGCTAGGCTTTGGTTTATAGTTTGAATAGTTATATACAGTATTAACTATGACCATATGCCCTCTATACTTACCATTTGCCTTAATCCAACTCTTTCTTTTAAACTATTTTAAATCAGGGAAATCCTTTATTGCTTCTGTCACTGTGAGAATGAGGGATGTTAGAATTAGCACTGATAACAGCTTCACCATTGAGGAAGAGGCAAAACAGTCAGCCTTCACGAAACTTGGATTTGTACTTGGTGCTAACGAATCAGGTAAAGTTGATTTGATTATCTCTCCAGACGTAACGTCCTTGTTTGTCTTTTTTCAACAGTCCAACAAAATGAATTATCAGTCAGTAATGAAAAATTTGGATTGATGTGAATATCAAAAACTTAATTTGATTCAATTTAGCTTCAAAAGAAAAGTTACATTTAGTTAAACAACTCAAGGTCAACATATGACTGTAACTTGTAGCTCTTACAGAATAATTCAAAAACATTTCATCATCCTATGGTTGAGACATAGGTCTGCTTCATTATACAGAAATTCTTTGTGAAAGGATTGTGTCACTTTTGAAGAGAAACTGTCATCCTTAAATTTTGTAAACAAGTTTCCAGTTTAGAACAGATAAGTATTGTGGTGTTTGGACAAAATGATACAGAACTTCACTAAAACCAGCTAAAAATCTTTTTTCAGTTACAGATATTATATAGGCTAATAGCTCAAACATTTCTTGAATGACAACATATTTTATCTTTCTTTAGAGGAAAATGCTGAGAGGTTCGTCCAAGAGTATTTCTCCAAATCAAAAGAAAATAAAATTCAAATTGGGTACGAACATGTCCAGAACACTCTTGCTTGTGTGTTGACCTTTACAGTCCAGTGCACCTTCACGGGTCAGGGTAAGAGATTTATAGTCCTTTTATTTAGCTCTGCAGTTATTGCTGTGCTTTTGAACATGCTTCTACCATGCTGACACTCATCAAATTCACAATGTGCTGAAAGGATAAAAATTCCCAGTGGATTTAATTGAATTTAATCCAGGGATATTATGTTTTTTGAATTTCTTGCAACATTAAAGAACAAAAACAGGTGTACTAGTGAAAATATGACCAATAATTAAACTTTTTAAGTACTCTGTTTTTCTGTGCAACTAGTGTGACATGAGTAACATCTATATATATTTTTTTCTAACGCGCTTTATCCAGTACAGGGCTGCAGGGGGATTCAAAGCCTAACCCAACAAGCAACAGGCACAAGGATGGTACAACAGTCTATTGCAAAGCACACACAGGCATACAGTCACGCCAGGGCCAATTTATACAGAATAGAGTTCACCTACCAGCATGTGTCTGGACTGTGGGAGGGCATTTGATCACCCAGAGGAAACCCATGCAAACATGGGGAGAAATTACAAACTCCACACTGTTATGAAGTGTTTATCAGGACCCTATGTAGACGATAGAATCCGGAAGGGAGTACAACAAACAAGGGGAGGAGATGGTGAGGAACTGGGCAGGTTGACGAACAGAGGGGCGTGACGACAGTGCACTGGTGCTCAGGGGGGCATGGTCCAGGCGAACTAGTTCAAAACAATCCCAAAGGGGAAACCAGGAAGCAGTCCAAAAGTCTAGTACCGGGTGATGCATCCAAGAAAAAACAAATGAGGTTAAAAACCGGAACGGGATTCGGTGCAGGGACGGGGAATAAAAACGGGGGTGACGAGGCCAGGCACTCTGAGCCCCGCACTCAGCTGGGTCAGGACGCCGATAGGAGGCCTATGCCCTCAGCCGCGGGCGTAGGGTGACTTAGTGGTACAGTAGGCGGGCCTCCGGGCATCCGTCTTCCAATGCAGAGCCCAGAATAGAGTGAGCGTCTGGCTTATAAGGAGGGGCAGGATTGGAGGCAGGTGGACATGATCAAGTAAAATAAGAAAGAACCGTACCGCCCTTAAGAGGAGGGATTACAAACGTGACACACACAGATAGGACCAAAGCACCAATACTAATCCTCTCTGCTGTTCTTTTTTCTCTTTACCATATCACTCACTTCCTGCTTCTTCATGCAATTTCCATCTTATCTTCGGGACTACATTTTCTATGTCCTATTTACCCATAAAGGCTGACTTAATAATTTAACTACAATAGTTTGGCCACTGTGGTCTTTAGTGCCTTAAGGGACAAGATATGGTCACTATTATGCAAATGCTCCACAAGAAAGCCCATTGTTTTACATTTAAAGAATGGGGTACTATTATACACTTGTATACTGTGGAATTTAAACATTAAAAAACCTCCACACAACATTGTTTATCTATTTACTGATTAAGAATTGTAGCACACTCATTTTGATTTAATAGTATGTGTATAATCTTCTTTACTTTTCCAGATCATGCATCCTCTAGAAAATCAGCCCACGAAAATGCTGCTAAAGAAGGGCTTCGAAGACTTGCCCCTGTCAGTGAGTTTCACACCGGTACCAGTTTTGAACCTATGGTGAACTACAGGAACAGATTACAAGAACTTTTTCAGAAGGCTAACCAAGAGTTGCCTACATATGAAATTATTCACAATAATGCAGGTAATTTGTTGATTCTTATTTTTTGTAATTGAATGAAATCGTCATGTAAAGTAAATGTACCCTATTTTGAATTCAGTTTCTTGCTCCTCTGTTTTCATGCTATAGGGAATCAAGACAGTGCTATGACAGTTACCAAGAATCTGAAAAGTGAATGTGATAGATTGGCTCTTATGACGGTCATATTGGCTATCCATGTACAGTTTACCTCAAATTGTTTAGGTCAGGTTTTTTGTATATTAATTGAAGTGAATTGAAGATTTCTAAGACAAAATCCTGATCTCTTCTTACACAGACTAAGCTGTATTGAAAATAGTAAGTTTTGTATACTGTAGTTTAAGTATAGTTGTAGAAAATGCTATTGGAGGCTTTGAGTGTGTTTCTGATTATCGTAATATTTCTATAAGTATATATTAATCATTGTTTGCCAGACTATGTTTTTATTGCATAAGGTTACCAGTAATACAGTAAGTGAACAATAATACGTTAAACACATTTATATCAATTAAAACATTGTTTTAATTTTTATATAAAATAGCTTTGGATGTATTTTCTCATACATTTACTTAATTCAATAATTATTTATTCATTTATTATTTTAATATCTTGTTAATTATACATGTTGATTGCAAATTGAAGGGAATTGTTTTTCTGCAGTTAGGTAAATATGAAATTTAAGCTTCACTTTAGCAGAGTAAGTTAAGTTAACCCTTGATGTAAGTGATGTAAGTTAACCCTTTGATACCTGACCCATCGTTCACCACAGCGCACAGTCGTGTTTTAAGTATTTTCTATGTTTTATATTTGTATTTTTTATATTTAATAATGTAGTAGAGGAGTTCAGGTCTACTGTCACCATATACATAAAAGAACTTGATTTCCCAGAGGAGTATGACAGTGAACACAAAGCTGTTGAAGAAGCTTGCAAAAAACTGGATTTAGTCCTGAATTCAGCAATGGATAGATCACGTAAGTGTTTTTATTTTATTAAGAAGGTATTGTTAAGCAATATGCATAATGAAGAGGGAATTATTTAATCACTTACCTAAATTAATTACATATTTTTTAGTGTTTATAATTATGTCATACAAAGTAGTTTATCCGTGTTTATAATTTTGTCCCACAAAGATTAGTCGATCATTTTTAACTCTAAATTCTTTTTTATGGCTCTGATCACATCTTAAATTTTGCTTTAGACATGCTGAAAATGTACTGAAGCAAGTTTGTTATATATCTGCACTGTAGATAACAATGTACTGTAGCGGCTCTCGAAGAAAGTCTGAGTAGTTTCAGGCTGGGTTGTGAAATGTCCATTATTATTTAGTTCCTCATTCTTCTCTTCATGCTTTAGCAACTGTGGCTATGTGGCAGCATAAACCACTTTTCTGATTGAATCTTTGAAAGTTTTTTGTTGTAGGAAACGTCTATATTTTATAGAAATATAGAATATCTTCTATATTTTTCAACCCCCCAAAATGCTCTCAATTTATGAAGCTATATCAGTCATGCTTCACTGTGAATTGTTGATTGGTTTTCCCACATACAGTCCATTATTTGCCCAATAGTAAAATCTTGTCCTGTCAAATGCTTCGCTCTTCATTACTTGCTTTTCCTGATGCCTAGTTGTTGGTCAACAAAACTATCTTACATTTGAGGATGGGACACCAGTCCATTCACAGGGCAAACACAAACACAGACATGCATACGCTCAGATCTAGTGCCAATTTCCCAATTAACCTACCGGTATATTTTTAGACTATGGGAGAAAATTGGAGCCCCCAGAGGAAACCTTCATGAATATGGGGAGAACATATTAAACCCTATGTACATAACACTCTAGGTCCTGAACTAATCTCAGGATCCCAGCACTGCAAGGCAGCCACGTTAACCACTCCGCCACTATGCTGCCCAAGGTCCTATTTAAGATCTGTTCTTTGGAAGTGTAATGGAACCCTCTGGACACAGAGACCACCACAGGTTTCCTGTTTTCCTAGGATATACACATGGCAGACACATGGAGTTAACACATGGCAGACATTCAGGAGTAGCATGCATCATTGTGGTTAAGGCCTGAGAGCACTGACAATGTCCATTATTAAGACATTTAAGTCTACTGTGCATAGTGGGTGGCAACCCTGCCAGGAAGAGGATGTATGTTTTGTGAGGCAAGTAGTTCATGAGGTAACCCTTATTCCAAAGGTAAGAGCTGATGATCTTCAACACAAGCTGGCATCTTCAGGATACATAATGTATAAAACATCACCTGCAAGAATCAGACATGTTGAATGTTTCTTGGAACAAACCTCTTTTGAGCATGAAGTACAAAATGTGTTGACTTTCTACGTCTAATGACAACTGGAATCAACCTCCTTTTTGTTCATGCATCTCAGAAATATGATTGGTATTTAAAGGTCTTAGAGACCTTGTTAGGAGAGGGGGAATCATGAACATTTACACTGACATTTTGGTCAGACACTTGGTTCCCTCATTCAAGAAGCCAGGCCAATAATGGACATTCCAGCATTACAATGATCCAAATAATTAATCCAGATTGACAAAATTTACCCAACTATGCATTAAATGTTCTCAACTGGGCATCTCCAGACCTCAGTAAAACTGAACATTGGTGGTGTGAACTCAAGAAAGCAATTTACACATGGAAGCCAATCATTTTCAAAATCTTAGAGAAAATCATGGATAAACTGTTTAAGATCACTCCTCAGAACTTCACAGCGTACTAAAGGAGCTGTCTTGACAGTGTAATTCCTGGCATAGGAGAGTTTACAAAGTAATAAATACAAGGGTGTGAATAACTGTGATTTTCATATTTTTTTAAACTTTAATGACTTATGACAAATATGACTTTTGTTCTATTTAATGCTGATGTGAGTGCAGTATAATAATATTTTAATTTATTTAATCAAATCACATTAAGCATTTAACAGTAAATATTTTTACTTATATAATATTTTTGTTTGTTTTTCATCAGAGAATATCTGGAGGGCTTTCAGCACAGGTATATTAGAGCTTGGTCAGCCTGGCTTCTACAATGCCATCTAACTCAAGCAGTTAAAAAAAAAGAGACAAAAAAAGTGTAAAAAATAGTTTTGCATCCACATGACGACATGAATTAACAGGACTGACTCTCAGTTTATAAGCATATAAATTAAGAAAGTGTTGAAGAGAACTCATACTTGTACCTCAAAAAACATTATTTGATCTCTATAAACTCCAACTAATGCAAAATAAAGCTTAAACTAAAATAAGCTTCTTTCATGCTGCATTGCTGAGGTAGGATCATTCTGATATTTTAAGAAGAAAATAAATATATTGCAATCTATTAAGCCTAATTTAACCTTTTGAAAGTGGAATGATACAGAACAAACATCAATATTCTTGTGCGATTATTTACCTTAAAAAATCATTAATTATGTATGATAACTTCTGTTTTGAAATTGTGTAGGAATGTGCACTTTGTGACAATAATTATGTTTTCCTTTAAGAGCTGTCTGCTTCTAAGGCAAGAATCTTTGAATGCTTGGGAAAAGACAGTGTGAAAGAAAAGATCGTTAAAGTTGCAAACAAATACAAATGCCAATTAATTCTCAATACACCTTTATCTTTTGAAGATGAAGGTAAGAATAATTTAATATTTTCTATTTTTCTTCAGCTATAATAATGTTAAACTACTGTATAATGAGTATATACTGTAAGTTAGGACCCAATAATAATTAATGTTCACATTCTGAAAATATTTCTGTTTTTCCCCTGGAGTCCTGCACTGGTCCCAACCATCTTGTGGGCTTATCCTTTGGCCTGGTCTCAGCCTGTGATAAATCCACTCATTCCAGTTCCAGGAGCACTTCCAGAAGACTGACTCGATGTTGAGCTCCCAATCTCTTGGTTCCGGTGCCAGGCTCCATGTTTTCCATAATGGCTGCTTTTTAAGCACTGCCTGCCAGTTACTCCCTTTAATAATTACTCATCACTTTCCCTCAGCTGTACCGGAATGCTCAACCCCTTTATAGTTGGATCTCTCTACAGTTCCCAACAATTATATCTACAGTTGGGAACTTCCCAATCCCTCGCAGTTGGATTCTGACTAATCACTTCCAAGGCTGTCTCAATTGTATGATCTACATCATAACAGAATGCTCCTGGTTACAGGAAACACTAATTCCTTGTTGTTTTCATTACAGAGTTGCATTCCCATGTACTGTAGTTCCACATAAGTCAAATTTAAAACCTTACTTTTCTGATTAAAGCAATTTCAGTTTAGTCCAGCTTTGTTTAGCAAAATTTAATGACTGAGGCAAGTGAGCCAGATATGTAAAGGCTGAATATCTAAGGTGGATTTAACAGGGTGCAAAAACACCTGGAGAAACACCATTTGGTCTTTGTCTGCCCCAATGAAGATAAGCTGATAGCCTGTCTCATGGGAGTTCCAATGTGATGGATACTATGGTGCTATAGTCCGATATTGCACTTGGACTGGAGTTGAAAGATTTCAAAATATTTTTTTTTTATTCTTTCCACAGTCAGGTAATTTCTGAGAAAGAGCAAAATGGTATGATAGCAACAATTGCGGATAAATTTTTTCAGTTCAGTTCAGTTCAGTTTATTTGTCACATGCACAAGTGCAATGAAATGCTTATTTGCATGTTTGCTGCAATGCAAAAACATTAAAGAATCACCAAAAACATAAACACAGAAGAGCAGCAGAAACAACAACAAGTTAAATAACATACAAACATCAGTGTGAGTCAGTGGCAGGGGTAGAGTTCAGTAATATAACAGCTTGTGGGAAGGATCTGTGTCTGAACCTGGATGTTTGTGCCTTTATGCTCCTACAATGCTTACCAGAGAGAAGGGGGGAGAAAAGTGAGAAACCAGGATGAATGGTATCCTCAGCGATACTTCCAGCCTTTCAGCCTTTGTTATCTGAGGGAGTGTAGAGGACATTAATGCAGCTTTGTGATCTCTGTATTCCAGAGAGTGCAGCTTCAAAAACTTCTGCAGAACAACAGGTGGCTTGGTCAGCTCTGCAAAAGCTGAGACCCCTGCTCCGCTGGAATGACTCTAATCCTACCATACTTAAGAAGAACTACAAGGGAGCACTGCAGGAACTTGTTCAGGAAAAAGGCCAGACCCTCCCCTCTTACAGCACCAGGTGCATCTATGGTAGGTTGCTCTTTTACCATTTTAAAAGTCATTATGTTTTGTGTCTTGACTTTGTGGAATTTGTCAACCATAGTATGTTCATGTTGCATGCTAAAATATATGTTTTAACTTACAAAAGAGACATTGTGTCTGATTTGCTTGTGTATTGTGAGGTAAAGAAAAGCAGCAAAAGCACATCTAGCACAGAAGTCAGGAGTAAGTTCTGCACATTGCTGGTGGTGGAGAGGAGTCCCCATTACCTGTAAAGTGCTTTAAGTGGAGTGTCCAGAAAAGTACTATATACTGAAAGTGTAAGCAATTATTTTTAATCGTAAGACCCTTGGGTCCAAATCCCAGTGTATTGTATATGCTGGTGCTAGTTATACAGTACATTGTTTAAATAAAGCTTAAAGGTATTTCACAGTGTGTGGACATTACCCCTGTGCCCACACTCCAAGAAATAAAGTTAAATTACAAACCAAACTATCCCTGGTAATCACAACACATGTCTGCTAGTAATAATTTTATATTTTTATGAGTCTTCAGCTGAGTATATCATTCATGGTTCCATAAAAGCTAACCTAGGTAAGATTGAGTGCAAAATGTTTGGTGGTATTATCCATCTGTGCTGTAGAAATGTAAATCTTGTTCATATCAGATTAGACTCTAACGAACAGTCAACAGTATTGCTAAAGAAATGTTGCTGCTCTTGATAGGAAGGGGAAAGCATATGAAGGAGATATCCACATCCAAAACATTGTGTTTCTTTTCTTCTCTTTTCAGCATGGAATAAACCTTTACTTGTTCCTTTGCAGCTTACGCATGCTGATGGAGCTACTGTACATACAGTACCGTACTTGAAGGAGATATCTCATTGTTTCCCCTTTAAACATATCTTAACATAGCAGATAATTAAAAAAACTCACAGACCGTTAAAGTAGTAGTACAGAAACAACAAAAAGGCAAGGAATGTTATCTTAAAAATGAACATAACATTTTCCACCCTGTTTTAATTACCTGCTATAATAAGTGTATCAAGGGAAAAATAATTTGAAATCCCCATAAAATAAGTTCACCCTTCCCTTATGAGCCGCCACTGATAAACACTTGAATAAGAATACTGTCTTATACAGTGTCCTGTCTCTCAGTCAGACATAATTTGCTCAGTTTTAGTAGTGATGAAATTAATTTAAAATGTTTTTGTTTTTGCTTCAAGGATCACCCTCAAACAAAACAGACCGTAGAAGTGTTAATCCTGTCCCAATAAAAAACATGCTCCCCATTTCATGTTATATAACTGAGGATGAAGAAAGACCAAAAACTGTTGAAGGTACAGTATACCACTACTATTACTATGATTAAAATGATCTATCCTTTTTGTAACCTCTTTCTCCAATTCAGGATCTGGGGAGCTGAAGCCTATGCCAGGAAGTAATTGGTACAAGGCTGGGATGCCACAGATACTGTACAAAGCACACACTCACACCAGGTTCAGTTTTCCCAGAAGCTAGTTAACTTACCAATGTGCCTTTGGACTGTGGGATAGAACTGGAGTACCCAGAGGAATGAATTCCGGGAGAATATACTGTACAAACTCCACTCAGCTACAGTACTACCCCAGGAACAGGAATATCGCTGTGCCACTGTGCTGCACCATGATTAAAAAAAGTTTTAATAAAAGTTCAGGAGGGATGACACCAGCCAAGTTCCAGCCTCAGCTGTAAGTCATCTGTAATTGAGATAAGCTCCAGCTCCCCCGAGATCCTGTATTGGATAAAGTGGTTGAACATAAATGGATTGATGGGAATTTTCTTGAATGATAATACCGAACAATATTTTTCAGCAGATTATATTGTATCATGCAATTCTTTCTAAAGATACTGTTTTAAATAAATGTGTACAAATGGGTTAACTGGATTTTTCATTTTACTTTAGAACTGACTGTTGCTTTGGCAAAACACAATATTCAAAAATACTTTACATACTCTATTTGTAAAGGATATGCATCATCTGTAATTATTAGTAAAAAAAACATCATGTTAGAATCTCTGGAATGGTGTGACACAGAAGAGGAAGCACTCAATACATCGTACAAGATGCTAGGCAGGACGTTGTATGATCTTGGCCAAATCTCAGGTAAGGATTTCCTGCAGTAGGTAATAAAGTCTGTCATAAAGTTATGCTTTAGAAATGCTGGCATTTTGAAAATTTTGTCTACCGTTTTTGCTTTTAAGTGCCCACCAATACTGTATTGAATATGGACTACAAATTTGGTTTCACCAAAAATCTGTTTAGGAGCACTGGTAATTGGAGTTCTGGATAAATTGGTTCATGTCCAACACAAGACTATTAACTTATTATTTTAACAGTGACAGACCATATCAAACATTGAACAGCAAAGGGTAACATACATTCAGAATGTGGCGCATACAGTATGTTGAAAAGACATAGAAAGACATCCATTTGAGATTTGTAAAACAGTAGCATGTTTACTTTCACTAATGCTTAGTGGAGCTAAGAGTTTATTTAAATTGAATATTAATTTAAATTGAATAACCATTCTACTGTTGCATTATAATGTTTGATCTTGGTGTGAAACAAAAAAAATCAATCTTATTACCATAATTACCAAGACAAAGTCATACCACCTTGAAATTATGCAAAGAAGAATTTAATATTTTTGGTTTATTTTGAAAGAGACCTCCATTTTCAAAGAAACCTGAATAGTTATTACGTCACAAACATAATTTGACTCAAAATCTGAATCAATAAATTAATCAAATTAATCACATCAGTGGCAAAGTGAGAACATTTTATTCCATGTTAAAATGACTTACATCTTCTGTGAAGATATTACTAGCACTAGTATTAATGTATTTATGGAAACTTTATGGAAAGTCAAGGGTTTCCTGCTGGAAACTTCCTCATTCCATCAAAACTGAGATTTCAGATAAATTTCACTGGCACTATTTCTATTTGTGTAATATATGATGTAAAGTATCTATTTTGTAATGTATTGTCTGCATTGTGTGGTGTTGTCTGATGCATGTCCTTAAAAGATCGGCATGCATAAGAATTCCAATGTATTGATACAGGACTGTTCAGTACATAAATAAACTATTCTATCTCTCTATCTATTTTTCTTTAAGTACTAATAAGCTATACCTATTGATTGCATCTGAGGAGGAAACCAGAAATAATAATAATTGCTTACACTTATATAGCACTTTTTCTGGACACTCCACTCAAAGCACTTTACAGGTAATGGGGACTCCCCTCCACCACCACCAATGTGCAGCAACCGCCTGGATGATGTGATGGTGGTTGTGATGCCATTGTGCTCCAGGACGCTCACCACACATCAGAGTAATGAAGCCAATTTATAGATGGGGATTATTAGGAGGCCATGATTGGTAAGGGCCAATGGGAAATTCGGCCAGGATGCCAGGGTTACATCCCTACTCTTTTCGAGAAACGCCCTGGGATTTTTAAATGACCACAGAGAGTCAGGACCTCACTTTTACTTCTCAGCCGAAGGAGAGCACCTGTTTACAGTACAGTGTCCCTGTCACTATACTGGGACATTAGGACTCACATGGACCGCAGGGTGAGTGCTCCCTGTTGGCCACACTACCACCTCTTCCAGCAGCAACCTTAGTTTTTCCCAGGAGGCCTCCCATCCAGGTACTGACCAGGCTCACACCTGCTTAGCTTCAGTGGGTTGCCATTTGTGAGTTGCAGAGTAATACAGCTTCTGGCTATGGCATCTGCAAGGGCATATAGTCACTATAGCCTATACAAACAGTAGGGAGTTCAAGGATAGAGAATGTGTTGGGCAGGGGAATTAAACCCTAGGTACTTCCATTTCACATCTTTGCTCTGGTTGATGTTTAATTAAGCAACTAGATCAATTAGTGTTTGTTGCCTATTTAATGCTTTCTTTCATCTCACAGATAGAATTGAAACTAGAGATGAAATAAAAAATCTATTTGAAAGAAAACAACTACCACGCCCACAAGAAACTTGGAAGAGAAAGGACAATGAATTGATGTGCTGTCTTGAGTTTTCTATGAACCTCTCATTTAAAGGTTATGGTATGTGTTCACAAATGGTTGATTCCAGTAATCTTTCACAACTGTGGTCTAATAGCATTGAATCTAAATATAAATGAATCTGAGTTTTATATAACCCCTTTGACAAAAGATACATAATTGAATTTTTTCAACACAATATACTTTCAGAAGTGTATTTAAAATTTTACTTAAACATTGTTCTAATTTAAATGTTAGTAAAAAACTTAAATGCTATTTCAAAATTGTTGTACTTGGCAACTTAATATTTTATGAAATGAGCTCTGTGCCACTTTGACCTAACTGGTTTTATTATGATACCAAACAGCTATGAGATTAAGGAAAATGTTCCGTGAAAACCAGAAAGACCATCTCAAACAGCAAGACAGTGCAATTTGGATTTATTACTTACAATATTAGCTAACAATGAAGAGGACTGGAGAGGATTAAGATAATACCATTACTGTAAGTCAAGATACAATAACTGGAATTTCATACGCTTTTATAGGTAAAGAAGGAAAAATGGCCAAAGAAGATGCAGCAAAGAATGCATTTGCCAAGCTGGCACCCATCTTGAAATGGGATACAAATGAAAATGACAAGGGTCCAGCTGAGCGTTACGTGGAAATACTAGAGAGACATCTGAGGAATGACTGCCAGTATGAAGAATCATCGTGTGACTTGTATTCTGGGGATGTAGTTTTTTCTTTCAGGGACTTTACTGTATGCACAAAGCAAACACACCCATCTAAGAGGGCAGCTCAGAAAGAAGTCTGTGAAAGGCTCGCAAGTGTGCTGGGGTTGAATGTATCAGGTGAGAAATACTACATAATAAAAAGACTTACTGTACTGTTTTAGTGTTGTTTAGAATATCTTTGTCTAAATGATTTTTAAGCTTCAATACAGCATAATTCAGAGTGCTCAGTTAACCCCCACGATAACTGCACTTGCTTTTTTCATTGTTATGATGAGAACGATTTAGGAAAATAATGTTATGAAATGCTTCTCATTATTGGCAATTCAAAGACTAAATGACTAAAACAGAAAAATATTTATAACATCCTAAAACAACATTAGTTATAAAATTGGGAAGAGTATGATTTTATTCTGATACAAAGCCTCTTAAAGAGAAAAGATTGACAAATGTACTACTACCGCATTAGTGTGCCATTCATGTACTCAGTACAGTATTTATACTGTACCTGAACAATTATCTGGCTTCTATGCCTGTAACTTCTTGGAACTTAACTGTGAGTTAATAATGTAATATATTATTGTAACTTCATTTTATTAGAAGCAAAAACAATCTAAAGAAATATTCATATAAATACATACTGTATATGATTTCAGACATATCTAACAAAATACCCTTGAAAAACCGCATCCAGGAATGGTTCCAGAAGGATAACTTACCAATTCCTAAATATGAAGATGATGCAGTAGCAGGTGGAGGCTTTAAATGTAAAACTACCTTTACTGCAAAAGTGGTTGTGAGAGAGAAAGGTAACTTCAATCCAAGTGCACTTTGCTTTATTTTGTATATGAATTTAAATTCAGTCTTGAGTTTTATTTTATAAAGCAAAACTAATATAACACAGACACTGAAATACAGTACTGTTCTTCCTCTGAATGCTCATGTTCATATTGTTTTCTTAATAATCATGTTCAGTCAGTGTCGCATAACCTAACCAGACAGAGCACCAATAAATTGAACCATTATAAAATTTCATCTTTAGAAATTCTGTGGCTGAAAACCAACACGCAAAGCTTTGTTAAAAAACAAACTCTAAAAAAGTGATTGAAGATGACATTTTTGTGTTAAGATGTCAATTTTAATGTTATGATGAATGCAGTTTGAACAATAAGCTATGTCCAGTCAGAACAAATCCCAGTGTTGGTTAGTTCAAGCTCCCTGTCTGTTTTGCAAACTCGAACCACTACTGTACTCCCTTTCTTGCCCTTGTACAGAATTATAGCCTTGAAAATATGATTTAAATGTATTTGATGCAAACTAAAAACTAAAACACCATATGATTTTGAAAACAAATATAGCAGACTTATTCCTTCAGCATGTTTTTCTACATTTATACAAACAAAAAAACACTTTATGTCTTATCTATTATCATGTTTTCTTTGACTTTGACAGATTGCCTACCAACACCTGACCTTTTGGAAGAAGTACTGCACAAGTCTGCTCTGCAACGCCTCAAGCTCCTAGAATTGTTTTAAACATGAAACAGACATGGCTAAATGTCAGCATAACCCTTGTATAATCTGTAACAATTGTATACGTTTTTAAAGATTGTGAGAACACATGAATGTGTTACATGAATAAAGTTAGAAAATAGGTGTATTACTTGGGTACTGTGTCAGATTATCCCAGCTAAATTGAGCAGGGAGTGCAATGACAAATGGTTCGCCACATGAGGCTGCCAAAGAACCATTGTTAAAAGAGCTCATTGCAAATACAGGGTAACTGTTTCTATACAGGTATCTTTCAATGCTGTTCTGCGTAATTTTTAAATCTGCACATTATAGATGAAACAATACATACATATAACATATATAAATATATGAGATATATCAGTATATCAGATAAATTGTCTTATCTTGATTGACAGAGGGAATGGTCTATTGGTAGAATAGTCACAAGTACTGTACACTCTTTGGTTGAATGTGTGTGCTGTGTAAGCAGTTTATTTGTACTATATTAAGGTACTGACTTGAGGTCTTGATTTAGCCAGATCTTTATTTGTGCACATTAGAACATGTTTCTTTTTATTTTGTTGGTGAATGGATCCCTTCACTGCTCAATAAAAGCAGGAACAAACCTGGAATTTCACTTGCATATGGGTGTTGTGTTTAATGTGTTGAGATCCTCATTTGCCATCTGTTCAAGCTCTGAAGAAGTTATTTGACCTATTCAAACAAATGTATTGTGAAAAACTGTAGTTTAAAGCAATGCAATTGTACTGAAATAAATTATTCATAGACCCTAAAACTCTTTGAACCATCATATCAAAGTATTGACCACTATACTGTATGCAAATTGTAAGAGTTTAATTTTTAACTTTTCCAGGATGGTAGTCCTGATTGATTAAGTTAATTTTTCTTCCCTAAAAAATCTAACGCAACATCTAATGCACTTTAAATATGCTTGTATAATACATGCACAACATTATACACAGATGACAATTCTTTTTTGCCATCTTTGCAAGATACCTTCAGTGCATAGCTGATATGTGGCTACAGTAGGTTTTGAGTGTGTGCTGAAACAGAGCATATTTGGAAATATGTGATTATGTTGTTCAGCTCACTAGGACTGTTCAGCTCACAGTCCTAAATGATCAATCTTAAGGCAAAATGGTGTTTGCTAGCAGGTTCAACTCTTTTCTTAATTTTCTGTTTTGAGTAGTGTTTGAACAATAATTGATGTTCAAACAACAATGCCTACTTTAAAGCACAGGAAAACAGCTGAACTGTACTGTCTTATACTCTAGGTGGCAGTATGGAATAGCCTTTTGGTTTCTAAATCTCTAACCAACTAAATTTTGTATGTAAAAACATTCCATAAAAAACATCAAACTGCAGTGCTGGTCATGAATTGTAGGCATCAGGGGAGACAGGGTTTAGGAATCACAGGTGCAGCATTAAAAGATGAGTTCTGAGATGGCACTGAAAGATCACATGCAGTCTTTGTCTAAACCAGGCATCAAAAGAGACCACTTATAACTGCAACTAATTCACAGAGGTATTTGGAAAATTACATTTTTATTTAGAAAGGATGCTGACAGGATATGGGCAAATTCATGATGTTCATTAACATTTTTGTCTTCAGAAGGATTCATTTACATAAGGAAGTGTGTTGTCCTGCTGGTATGCTGTCACATCACAATAAGTCCATAGAGGGGCAGCAGGTGAGGTCCCAGGACATTTCCAATACAGTGGACTGTCAGAGAGCAGTTAAGGTATCATGATGATGTGTCTGTTGATCAAGGGAAGGTGCCATGAATTGTAATCTCCCAGATAGTGGTTTGTTATTGACACACTGCATTTAGCTGTCTAACCAAGTGAGACATTTATGACTGTGCGTATCTTAAACAACCAATTAAATACATAAAAGTTTTTATACTGGTAATAGAAATGAAATATTATCAGGATCCAGCTCCAGACACCAGGCACAAAACACCAGACTGGAGTCTTGTGCAGTGGAAGAAGATGCAGTAAAGCTGGGAGAAGAACAGGTTCTGGTTGAATAGATCACTCTAGAGCAGCAGAATGTGTTCTGTCATTGTAAATTGTGGATCAGAATCATGAAATGTTATTGCTTTGTTCCATCATTGAGGTGTGGATGTGAAGAAACAGTGGACTCCAGCAATGGAAAAATAGTGGTCTGCTTAGTCTGAGACTTTTGAGTGATGAGGGAGTGCAGCTAGATAAGAGCAGAGTAAATGAGAGAGCAGTAAGTACACTTTTGCAAATGTACTGTATGTAAGTGTGGGAGGGAGTGGCAGGGGAGGGAGAAGAATCAAACTGCCGAATTGTGTATGAGCAGGTAGGGAAGGATCATGAAAGCAGGAATCCATTCAGGAAAGAGTTGCAGTTCCAGCTGTTGTGTAGCAGAGTAATTATTAGGGTAAGGCAGGTACTGTAAAGGCTGCTCAGGAAGAATGGACTGCAAAGGGCAGGGAAAGAGGATGGGGGATTCAGAGGGAGGTTCAGGGAAGATGAGAAACAGGGCAAAGAAGAAAGTTGGAGTCAGAACAAGTGTCTGAGATTATTTTATTGCATGCAAGATAAGGTGATTGAGAGACCGGATACACAAGGTAGTGTTAAGGGAAGAAGTAGTAAAAGAAAAGAAAATTAAATAATTATCAGCATGGAAATGTTGGCAGAAGCCATAAAATGAAATTGTTGACCTGGGGAGCAGATATAGAGAGAAAATGGGTCCTAAGACTGAGCTTTTGGAAACTCCAAAGATATTCTGTGGTAGAGAGTGATCTGAGCCAGGAAATCTGGTAAGTGTGATTGAAGAAATAGGAGGAAATACTGGTAAGACCAGAGCCAGAGATACCAAACCTGGTGGGAGATGAGAGGAGGAAAAAGTCATTAGTGGATTTAAAGGACAGAACAATCAATACAGGGTTAAGATAGGGAACCATGTAGGAGACAAGTTGAGAGTACAGAGTTAGTGAAGAGCAGTCTCTGTGGAGTGAACAGGTTGAGATCCAGATTGGAGGGGATCAAGCAGGGAGTGGGATGATAGGCAGGCAGAAATCTGGCAGCGAGCTGCTTACTTGAGAGCTTTGGAGGGGAAAGGAAGCAAGGAATTAATCAATAGTTCTGAAGGGCAGAGGGATCAAGGTTGAGCCTTTTTTAGAATGTTGTGACATTTGCCTACTTAAAGGGCAGAGAGGGGCTAGGTATTAAGAAGAGCAGAGAAGAAGGTAAGGGAAGAGGGACCGATAGCCTGGAGGAGGTAGTGGGGACGGATCCAAGGATAGAGGTGATGTGTTTGTGGCTGTGGAGCAGGGTATCTGATTCAGAATCTGACAGGGGTCAAAAAGAGCAAGTAGAAGTCAGGGGGCTGGTAGGAGGTGGGAGTAAGTTAGAGAGAGAGGAGATGAGGTGTCAAAGAGATTGTGAATTTTGGAGGAGTGCAGAGGAGCATGTAGGGGTTAAAAAGGGAAAATGAAGAAAATATTTAAAACAGTGGTTCCCATCCTGGTCAAGATGAGCCATACCCCTCCAGTGCAGTATTCTTGCCAGTGAGTATGTTAAAGTGCAGATTTAATGTGTGCTGGTCAGCTTCCCCTGCAACTAAATCTCAGCTTTCAGGTGCTGTCTAAAGAGTGGAGATTCCCTCCAGAAAGCTACAGTATGTCTCCAGATGCAGAACATTCACCACTGTCTAGGCTCCTAGGAGGTGACACTGTTCTCTGTAATATGCTCAGGGCCAAATGAGCTCCAGGTACGCAAGGTTTATAAAAACTTTAGAAAAATAAGGTTCTCTTCTCTTTGTAAACACATTGTAACAAGACTTTTCATTTGTTTGTATGTGATTAAAAGCAATAACATTACAAAAATACACCACCATTTTGTCTTGTGCTTTAATTTGTAACACAAACTGTTTTTACCTTGTACATCTTTGGTGACATAGCTCAGAATTCCTGAAACATGCTGTGTTTCTTTTTTATTATTCAAAATCAATCATGTAAACCATGTAACCATACTGCACTGGCTACATTCAAGAACACCCTGATGACTAACCAACAAGTGGCAATAACCCAATCCTAATCTAAATGAAGTGCCGACATACTTTATTCATGAACGTTTGATCTCTATGATATTAGCAGAAAGGTTATAAGATTTAGAAAATCATATCAAAACCTATGAACCGTTTAATGCTATGTATTGTTTCCAAAGTGTAACATATGCGTTTCAAGAGATATACTGTAACTTTATGAATGTAAAAGTTTGAAGAAATTAGCACTTGGCAGGGTTTGTATTTTTTAAATTTACTTAAGCAGCAGTGTTCTTCATCCTCATTAGAAACAAGCATTCATGTTGTACTCTCGAGAACAATAGGACACAATGGATATAAAACAGAAATTACTATAGCGTTCTACTCTCGAGAAACGAAATCGATAATCGAGGTTAGAATCGAAATCCTGACAAGATTTAATACATTCTCGATGTTCTTCACACCACTTGAGGGCGCAATTTTTGCTTAACGGGAGAGGTGAGGCGGACCCTTCGGGAAAAAAAAAACACTCAACAAAACATACAGGGACGTCACTGAGTTTATTTGAACATCACTAGCTACCTGGGTAAATTTTCCCTGTTTTCGGAAACTGTTGCTAACTTTTTGTAGGTTTTCTGTGGTTTATGTCCTCTCCGGATACATCTTTTTCATTCTTTTATAGGAGCTCGGCTACCCTGTGCCCTGCTGCAAGCTCTCCAGTTATCCTCTGTTCTGCTTATGTGACACATTGTGCCATGCGGTAACACTTGCCTGCTTGGGGGAAGTGCGTCCGTCCTTATCCCGAAACAGGTAAGGTAAGATTTTTGTTTTTTGTTTTACTATGCGTCTGAAGCTGCTGTTTTATTTACAGTACCTTCTAAGCTTTGTATTCATGTTTTGGCGTGTCAGAAGAATCGTGGAGCGCAAAAGTCGTAAAAGCAGAGGTTAAATGTGGGGAAAAAACTAAGCCGATATGTATTTAATTGTTAATAGAAATATATGGCGTAAGATTCTTTAGTCGATTTTATTATACGGTAAATCAGTACTTTCGTCTTCGTTTTTCATAAGATCTAAGTAAGATCTTAGTAAGCTTGTAGATTGTACTATTGTACTAAAGCTCGCGTCTGCTCAGATGTTATCGTGTTTTACTGCTTCAGTCCATTGTTAGAAAAGGCTAAGATTGTAGTTTGCTAAAGGTGAACCAAACCGTATTTAAAAATGTTACTTTTAGTGATGTAAAAAAAGTGTTCCTCAAGGGCTTGCTATACTGTACCTCCAGGGCAACCTGATATCTAAGAGTTAGTATATAGAAACGCCACACCTGTATCCTGACTACTCGCCTGGCTCGGTTGCCATAACAGTTTCGACAACAGTCTGCGCTTTCCCCCCCATTCCTAACTCGTGTTATACAAAACCTATTAATACCGGGACCATGAAAGGTTCCATTTAAAGCTAACAAAGGATGCTTTATTAAAACAAAAATACAGGAAACGTTAATTGTAAGAACCCGTAGGCAAAAGTAGCTTTTTTATAGATGTAAAATAAGACGTTCTTTGTGTTGAAGCGCGGTGTTCCCCAAACTGTCAAGAATAGATATTATTGTTATCAATGAACATTGAAACTGATATGATAACATTCCATTTGATAGCCACATACAACCATATACAGCGTAGTCGTTTTTTGAATAGGGCGGTCCTGCTACCATCTCTACTGTAGACTGAACAAATTGAACGCACAGTATGGCGCCAAATAATTGAGTGCTATGGTTGTTAAACTGATTGAAAGGAGGCTCACATCATTGCTTAGCTGTCTTTAAATGGTGGTATGAGAAGAAAGTGTGCATTTATGAATATGGGTTTGTCCTACTGTCGAGCTGCTGCACATTATTATTTTATTGTTGTTGATTTAATAATAATAATAATTAATAATAATAATTGCTTACACTTATATAGCGCTT